CACCTCACTTGGAAATAGGTATGTACGGATGGGACTAAAGTAAGGTCACACCAGATTGGAGTAGGCCCCAAGTCCCACGACTGGCGCCCTGACAAAGAGAGGAGAGGACGCCTGGTGCCACACACGGGGCAGAAGGTTCAGTAAAGATGGAGGCAGAGGCCGGGCCGGGCTGCCGAAAGCCAAGGATGCCAGAGCCACCTGGCGCTGGAGGGGGTGTGGGAGGGCCCTCCTGGAGCCCCCAAGGCCACACGGCTCTGCTGACACTTTGAGTTCAGGCTTCTGGTCTCTAGACCGAGAGGGAAAATTTGTTTTGAGCCACCCAGTGGTAATTTATGGCAGCCCTTGGAACTAATACACCTACACAGGATCACAAATATTTTTTCTTTTTTTTTTTCCCCTAGAAATGTCAGTTTCACTTTTATATTTAGTCTTATGCTCCATTTTGAGTTTATTTTTGTGCATGATATGAGGAAAGGGTTAAGGTTAATTTTTTTCCGATGTGTATATCACTTTCCAGCACCATTTTTAGAAAAGACTGTGCTTTCCCCCACTGAATTATCTTGCACTTTTGTTGAAAATCAGTTGACCATAAATATGTAAGTTTGTTTCTGAATTTTCTTCTGTTCCACTGATTTATACAATAGGGCTTAATACCACACTCCTTTATTTCTATACCTGTATAGCAAGTTTTAAAGTCAGGTAATGTAAGTCCCCCAACTTCATTTTTCTTAAAAATTATTTTGGCTCTGCTAAGTCCTTTATATTTCCATATAAATTATAGAATCAGCTTGCCAGTTTCTGCAAAACAAACAAACAAACAAAAAAAACTTGCCAAATATTCCAGGCCATGGTATATGTCTTACTGAGTTAGACCCTCTTCAGTTTTTTCCTACAGTGTTAGTACTGTGCTCACATGTGCTTTATCCAGTTTATCCTTAAATGTTTCATATTTTTGATGCTATTGTAAATGTTTCATTTTTCAATTGTTTGTTTCTCACATATAGAAATAGTGATTTTTAAAAATTAACTGCAACTGTGCTAAATTAAATCACTTGTTATTTTTAGTGGCTTATTTGTAGATTCCTTAGTTTAAGTACATAATCATGTCACCCAGGATTAGACAGTTTTACTTCTTTCTTTCCAGTCTACATGCCTTTTATTTCTTGTTAACGCCTTCTTACACTGGCCCTCACTGAAATGTTGAGAAGGAGTGGGAGGTGGACACCCTTGCATAGTTCCTCATCTTATGGGGAGAATGGCCAGTTTATCACTAAGCTTGAAGTTAGTTGTAGCTTTTCCATAGATACTTTTTATCTGGTTGGGAAAGTTCCTTCTATTGTTTGTGAATTTTCACCCTGTGGGATTCTATTAAATTCTTTTTCCATGCCTACTCAGATGATCATGTGGTTTTTCTCCTTTATTCTGTTTCCATGGTGAATCACATTGATTGATTACATCAAGCTTGCATTGGCTATGATATAGTAGGGTGTATTTTTTTGCTGATAGATTTAATGATACCTTGTTAAGAATTTTGCCTTTTTTTTTGAGGGTTGATGTATAATTTAGTTTTCTTGAAACATTTTTGATTTTGGTATCAGGATAATTCTGCTCTTATAAAATGAGTTGGGAGGTGTTTTTTGTTCATTTGTTTTTAAAGATTTTATTTCTTGTTAGAGGGAGGGGGAGGAAGGGAGAGAGAAGAGAAACACCTGTTGGTTGCCTCCCGCATGCATGCCGCCATCAGGGGGTCTGGAGTCGGAATGATGCCCTGACTGGGAGACAACCTTTCCATCTGTAATTCGACGCCCCACCTGCTGGGCCACGCCAGTCGGGGCTGGGAGGTGTTTTTGTCCTCTTCTGCTTTCTTTAAGTTTGGTATTTCTTTATGAAATGTTTGGTAGAATGCATCAATGAAGAAATCTGAACCTAGAGTTTGTTTTTTTTTGTGGGAAGGTTTTTAAGGTCAAAATCAGTTTCTGTAATAGGGATTTTTAGGGATCTTTTTAAATGAGTTTTAGTGTCTTTCCAGGAATTTCTTTCATCACAGTTACCTAATTTATTGGAAAAAATTATTCATAGTAGTCCCTTATTATCCTTTTAGGTTTGTAAGATCTGAGATGAGGTCCCGTCTTTCCTAATATTGCCAAGTTCTTTCTTAGTTTGGCTGGAGATTTATCGTATTTTTTGTTTTTTGTTTTGTTTTTTAAGAACTAGCTTTTAGTTCATTGGTTTGTTTTTTTTTTAATTTCATTGTTTTCTACTCTTTATTATATCCTTCCTTTAGCTTAATTTTGGGTTTAATTCATTCTTCTTTTTCTTAAGGTGTAAACTTAGTTAACTGAGTTGAAACCTTTTTTCTATTTATGCAAATATGACAAAATCACAATAAAAGAATGCAAAAATAATTAATATATGCAAATTAAAATTGAATTTTGATTTTTACCTATTTTCTTTTTTCTTTTTTATAAAGATTTTTATTTATTTCTTTTTAGAGAGCAAAGGGAGGGAGATAGAGAGAGAGAAACATCAATGTGTGGTTGCTGGGGGTCATGGCCTGCAACCCAGGCATGTACCCTGACTGGGAATCGAACCTGCGACATTTTGGTTCGCAGCCCGCACTCAATCCACTGAGCTACGCCAGCCGGGAATGTCTTTTTACCTATTTTCTTATACATTATTGCTTTTCAAAGTTTGTTTCTACTACAGCTTTATAAAAATTCTGATAAGTAATACGTGCTAGCTGTTAAAAAATTTAAAGGGTACAGAGAATTATAAATGATTGTATTAGTCAGATTGGGACATAAAAAATAATCACAAAATTCTTGCTGCTTAATACAACAGACTGTTATTTCATCCACTGCACATGCACTGTGAACCATCAGGGGCTCTGCCCCCCACACACAGTGAGGGGAGGACTCAGGCTGGCAGAGGCCCCGCCCGCCGTCTGGAGCTGCACCCTCTGGAGCACACGCCCTTTACTCCCTGTGGCAGGGGAAGAGAACACTGAAGGTGCTGTCTTCTGAAACTTAAAGCTTTGGCCTTATAGTTCATTGGCGAGAAATAGCCACATGGGCCCACCTAATTGTAAGGGTCAAGGAACTAAAGGTTTTCCATGGCCTTATCAGAAGCAGAGAAGCAGTAGACATAGGTGAGCACCATAATTCTGTACCCCAGGGCATAAAAACCCCTGTCCACCTACCTACTTGGAGATAACCCTTGCTTCCCGTCATCCTGCCTGGGCCCCCTGACCTTCCTCTCGGCCAGCCTGGTTTGGGTTGGAGCGAGCACTCCTGTGCTCTAACAGACCACTGATTCAGTTTGGTTGTGACAGCCCTTTGCAACTCACTTCGTTTCATCAGCATGTAAATGGAGCTGGGAAGGGCAGATTGAGAATCCCTTGCTAGTTGCTTTAATAACATGGGGATTTCAAATTTCTTTTGAAACCGCCCTTTAGAATGTCTCTGGAAGCTGCACAAGTAACGGAGCAGCGGTTTATCTGGGGAGGGACTGGGCGGTGGTGAGTGTGGGTGAGGGGCACTCAGAGAGTGGGTGGGACGAGTTATTTCCACCGTATACCCTTCTGTGACTCGAGTTTCAGACTATGCGAATTAGTATTACCTATTTTAAAAAACAGGTAATTTAAAATTTAAAGAACTTTTCCTGTATTTTCTTGATCATCTATATTGAATCTAAATATACTATGTAAATGAATGAAAACAAAAAACCTATTCCTTTAAAAGCTGTCAGACAGTTGAATGCCATTTTACTTTTCCCACTGAATTTTGACATATCATCAAATAAAGTCCACATTTCTAAAATTAAAAAAATATTTATATTTACCCTTTGGAGGAATACAATTACATTATCCAAATAAATCAGTTATTGTCCTTTGAGGACCAGTAAACAACGTAGTCACTCTCAGCTGCCTATCACCTTTTCAGAAAGCTCTTTCGCCTGCATAACGGGGTCCCTCTACATTTCCAGTTGTGAGTGGAGCCATAATTGAGGCAGAATGAACAGCACGGTCTTTGAAATCAGACCTGAGACCGCACAAAAGCTCCAACACGTATCAGTCGTGCAACCTCAGGAAATGTGCTTATTAACCCCAAAGCCTTTTTCCTTTTGGGGAAAAATAATACATACCTTTCAGGATTGCCGTAAGGATTAGGTGAAAGGTATGTACAAACCTCTGGACAAGGCGCAGTACGTTATTGTTCCCGCAGGCTTTCTCCACGCAGAATCAGCAGGTCCAGCTGCCGTGCTCATTCCATTTTCTGCGCAGTCGTTGACCAGAATGTCAGCTGTGGTCACCTTCCCATCCTACTGTTTCATGCACCTGGTTTTTGTTCAACTTTCCTGAGTCCTCATAACACAACTATTTGATTATAATACTACTACGTATGAAATTTAATCTATCATGTATTTTTTAAAAGGTACTGTTTTACCCTCAAACTCATGAATGTACAGGGACTTTCCAAAGGCTACATGAAGTGTAATATCGCAGCTGATTAAGTGCAGGTGAAAATTCAGCTGTCTGCTCTTGAACCAGAGACCAAAGCAGTCTGAGATGCCAAACAACACCACTTTGCTCATTACATTTTTTGTTTGGGAAAACATAGTAATTTTTCATTCAAAGAAAAACAACCTGTTACTTACATTAACGTGCAACAAGTGTCAAAAGGCCCTGCAGCTAAACTGAGAACTGCCAGTTTAGACTCCAAAGCCTGTGGGTGAAAAACGGCAATATAAGCAAGACTTCTAAATAGACACCATGTTCTATGTGCCCCTATCTCATGGTCTTTGGTGGGCTTTTAATCTAAGTATCCCCTGTCTTCCTTTTCTGAGAAAAGATTATAAGCAAGTGATTACTTGGACTAATCCCACAGCCAGTTAGAGTTTTTCTAAGCAGAGCTCTGGAGCCAGTTATGCTGAAGTCCAGTGACTAAAGGTAGCAGCTGGCTACTAACGGGGGTTATTTTTGTTTTCTGTCTTTCACACAGAGCTTATTCCTGTGGCCTTTTTGTGTGCCGGGAACCAAAAGTAAGGTAATTCAAGGCACGAGACTCAAGTAAAATAGGAAGATCGTCAGCGGAAAGACCTGCTGGAGGAAACAGAGTAAGTATGGCGTGTCATTAAGACCTGGGTTGTTAATAAACGGAAAAGCAGAGACTGGGTCAGTGAGAGAAATCGTGGTTTGTTTCCTTCAGGGCCCACTAGGACTTCTGAGCTGGTCGGATCGCAAAGCGAACCCAAAGATGCCCCGGAAAGGACTTCCACGATAGCTTTGTAAGTTGTACCTGGAGCAGTATGAGTGGATGCATAAGTAGTTAAAAATATGCAGGAAAAGAACCATACCTCATAAATCTCTGAATCCCTGGAGTTAATGTGAATATTTTTCAGGGGAAAATTCGGGACAAGTAGCCTATCAAAAGATTTTTGTCTTGTCCTGGGGCAGGGGAGTTGTTTAAAGAGCAAAATGTTGGAGTTTTGAATACGCTTTTAGTGGTTTATCAAGGACCAGGGGTATAAAATCGGTGTCACCTCAGAAAGTTTTGGTTTCCATGATGATGATGTTCAGGAACTGTTGTGAAACGACCACAACATCTTTCGGTTGCCCTTTATTGCCTCAAGTTGAATATCTTCCACAGGCCTTTTCATCTCTCATCTCTAAAATGTCTTCCAGCTTTAAGGTTCTTTATATATTCCTTCTCAGACTTGTTTTGTCTTCTTTCCTCACGTCCTCTTCTAAGGAGCTCCCTGGCCACCGCCTTGGTGGCTGGAGCTGCTCCTCCTCCTCCGCCTTCTGCGCTTCGCTGGGGGGAGCCTGTCCTTCTGGCCTTCCAGCGGCCCCGAGTCAGCAATGGGACGGAAACCCGGGAACCATCCTGTGGCTGTTGCCTAATTAAACATGGATTTCTTAGCTTTGTTTATTTAATTTTGTCTAGAAGTTATTAAGGATAAAATCATTTTATACAGGTAATTCTTAATTTTATCCTAATTTTACTTTTTAAAAAGGGGGGTCTTCATAAATATGAACTCACACTATTTCCCTTCCTCACCTTCATTCCAAACCAGCATTTGCTATTTAAAACTAAGCCTGTTTTTTTCTTGGCCACGTGGGTTTCATGGGGTCTCTCCGTTCCATTCACACCTCCTTACCCAGCGCCACCAGTCACAGAGCTGGTGTCAGGTGACCCTGGTTCCATGCCCTTGTGTACCACTTACCGAATCTGAAATGAGGATTTTTTGGGAGGGGGTCAAATTAAACTAAATGGAAAAAAAATATTTTTTGAAGATTTTATTTGTTTTTAGACAGAGGGGAAGGGAGGGACAGAAACATCAATGTGTGGTTGCTTCTTGTGTGCCCCCTACTGGGGACCTGGCTGCAACCCAGGCATGTGCCCTGACTGGGAATCAAACTGGCGACTCTTTGGTTCACAGGCCGACACTCAGTCCACTGAGCAACACCAGCCCAGGCTAAATGGAAAAAACTTGAATGTACAAGATAACTTGTCTCATTGGTTCTTTTATATCTATAGTTATGAATATGAGTATTAAACAATTTTTATGGCTGTTTTTACATACACACATACATATGTGTGTATATACATATACACATACAGGTACATTATTTGTGTACCTTAGTAAGGGAATTTATGAGATTGGTGGATTTACGGCCATGAGAGTGTGTTAAAGAAAAATTATTCATGGCCCTTGTTGAAGAATGGTAAGGCACGCCGTATTCAGAACCTCTGCAATAGATGTAGAGACCAAGATGATGTGGTTTTACAGCGACAAGAAGAGATTGGGTTCAACTCCAAATATAAGTGGGAATTTATAGCCAAGGAGCAAGGTGGAGGTCAGTGGTCAGATATCACTAAGGAAACATCAGGGTAAGAAGGAATTCTGGCTAAACCCTAACAGGATTCACGCAGAAGGCCAGTCAGGGTGACTGGACATCACCTGGGGTGTGGTGAGGGATGAAGAACTTGATCGGATATCGAGGGAGGTCAGATACTGAGGATGAGAGATGCTGGCTAACCCAACTTAGCAAGATTCTTGCTAAAATTGGACAATGAGAAGATGAACACAGAAGCTCCAAAGTCAGGGCCTGACTCTCTTCTCAATTAGGACGCTGTCTTGTCAAGTTAGGGTGCGTTCTGTCAGCAAAACGACAGCCTTCTCCCACACGGAATTCTTCGCCCACAGCACCTCAATTTGCCCTTGAAATTATTTTATCAGTTCTGCTCTTGGGCACATTTAGTTTTTCATTTTTCAGGCTTGATACTTCCTAACTTATTCTTCCCTTAAAGTTTGAGAAACTTGGGAAGACCTATAATACTGCCATGTTAATATGTTAGTGTTTTTTTTCTATATGTGTCTAAAATTAATGACCTAATTTTGTAACCTGCAACTCACTTAAACATTGTAGAAACTTATATTTTTTAAAACACATAACAAATTCAGAAGGCTTAGCATGTAAGTATTAAAAAGGTGGGGTGAAAACGAAGTCTTCTTCCTAACTCCAGAAACACTGGTAATGGCTGCATGACAGGTAAGGATGGACTGCGAATCATTTGTAACCCTCTGTAGTTGTTACCATTTGTGGATGGATCTGTTACAATTTGGGTTTTATTTTGCTCCTTAGAAATACTGTGGTTGAACAGCCTTGCAGAATCATCTTTGGGTCAACTGTGATTTTTGTTTGTAGGATAAATTTCTCACATTTCCTTCCTTTTCTTCCATCCTTTCCTGATTTCTTCCTCTCTGACCATTCTCTTTCATCATCTTCCTTTTTTCCTGCCTCCAGGTGCATTTACCTCTCCAGCTTCAACTCCTGTCCCTTTACCTAGCACTTCTGAATGTTCTCAGTATTCATACACAGTCCCTGTTCCTTCCCTGTATTCCCTCCTCTCTCCAGGCGCCACACCTGAAGCAGCACGTCCAGAAGGTAAAGCTTTCCTTCCTTTACCAATGTTTCCATTATTTTCAGCTGATCTATCTGTTCTGTGTCTTTGACCTTTGGAGACCAAAGGTCTCCAAATAGGAATGATGATCCTGCCACTAAAATGTTTTAAATACTGCTACACTAGGGCCCCATCTGCATTACCTGTACCTCACTGACAAAACGAAAGAAGGTGGGGAGGGAGGGATGAGGTAACATTATCTTGAGACAGAGTGTAACATGTGTTACAGCTCATCAGTGATTGTTCAGAGTATTACCTGTAGGCTGCTATTTTAAGCCTGTATATTCGCTGAGATGGGAGTAAAAGGCAGAAAACTGTACTTGAACAACAATTAAAATAAAAAAAAATGATTTGGAAAAAACAAAGCCTGTGTATTAGCTCCAGTAAGTCAGTCTTTTATTTTTTTCAAGTTATTAAAACTTGTAGTTATAGAAGTTTTAGTAATTTATATGTAACATTTTGGTTATAGATCTGAGAGTTCTGAATGATATGGGTCTCAAAAAATGACCAAAGTATACATATTAATTCTTCTTTATCATATTGTATAACTTGTATGTGAAATACAAATTTCTATCTATACATTTACTTGTGGAAATGTTTAGATTACTTTTGAGAATTGAGGCAGTTGTTTTGTGAAGTTTTAAAATGGAGATAGAATCAAGATAACATCAAAATTTTTTTCTCTTTTCTTGCAGGGATGGGAAATGAAGTGAAGCAGTGTTATATGTATTTCAGTGGGCCCTGTGAGATTTGACTAAATATGACTGCTCTTTCTTCAGAGAACTGCTCTTCTCAGTACCAGCTACATCCGACAAATCAGCTCCTAGACAATAACTGTCTGCTAGTCTTGATTATACTTGGAAAAATATTATTAAATGTCCTCACACTGGGAATGAGAAGAAAAAACACCTACCAAAATTTTATGGAGTATTTTTGCATTTCACTAGCATTCATTGATCTTTTACTTTTGGTAAATATTTCCATTATATTCTATTTCAAGGATTTTGTGCTTTTAGGCATTAGGGTTACTAAGTACCACATCTGCTTATTTACTCAAATTGTTTCTTTTACTTACGGCTTTCTGCATTATCCAGTTTTCCTGATAGCGTGTATAGATTATTATCTCAATTTTTCTAAAACCAACCTTCCATTTAAGTGTCAGAAATTATTTTATTTCTTTACAGTAGTTTTAATTTGGATTTCAGCATTTGCTTATGTTTTGGGAGATGCAGCTATCTACCAAAAGCTGAAGACACAGAATGTTTATTCTTATCACTGTCCTTTCTACATCAGCATTCAGAGTTACTGGCTGTCATTTTCCATGGTGATGATTTTACTGATGGCTTTCATAGCCTCTTGGTCAGAAGTTATTACCTTGGTACAGGCTATTAGGATAACTTCCTACATGAATGAGACTGTCCTCTATTTTCCCTTTTCATCCCACTCTAGTTATACCGTGACCTCTAAAAAAGCACTCTTGCCCAAGTTCATTGTCTGTTTTCTTGGTACCTGGTTACCATTTGTACTACTTCAGATAACTATCCTTTTATTTAAAGTAGAGATTCCAGCATATATTGAGATGAACATTCCGTGGTTGTACTTTGTCAACAGTTTTCTTGTTGCTACGGCATGCTGGTTGAATTGCCACAAGCTTCATTTAAGAGACACTGCATTACCTGTGGATCCATTTGTCAATTGGAAATGCTGCTTCGTTCCACTTGCAATTCATAATCTTGAGCAAATGGAAAAGCCTATATCAATAATAATTTGTTAGTATGTTGCCACGTTAAGACTTACAACTACGATAAGAATTGTAACTTTATAAACAGGGAAGGATGACTCAGGACCTACAGAGATGGAACTGAACCAAAGCCTCCCTCTACTGCCACCTGCCAACTGTGTCCATAGTTTTTCAGAATGTGTATTTTGGGGCTATGACATTGGTTTTGTTGTTGTTGTTGCTTTTTTAACAAAATAATTGCAAGAAAAAAATTTATGCCTGTTCAGGAAAACTACGTTACAGATGTTAACACGAAACTGAACTGAGTTTACATTCGGCCATACTGATGTTCTGTTATCCAAAAAGATACCGGATCACAACAGACTCGCTGCCAATTTTGTTACAAACTTAAATAAACATTTTTATTAAATTCAAAGTGAGAAGATGAAGGTCATTTTCTTAAAGAATTTGTATACCAGTTCATTTTAACATAAGGGGAAGATGCTCATTTTAAAAAATATATCTCTGTATTTAATGTAAATATTCCTGGAAGCATAGTTTCACCTACTTACCTTACAGAACTGGGATTAGAGACTAGGCCTCCTTCCATGACACACCAGATTCATTTTCGGTTATAACTTACATGTCACTTGCATGTCAAATCATAATTATTCAATACTTCAGCAGTGTATCACACTGTAAAAGTAGTGTTTCTTAGCCTTGGCGCTATCGCTATTTTGGGTTGGGTCATTCTGGTTGGGGAGACACCCTGTGGTGCACTGCAGAATGTTCAGCAGCATCCCTACCCTCTGCCCACAGATACCAGTAGCCCCTTGCTCCTTAGTTGTGGCAATCACATCTCCAGACACTGCCTCGCCGCCCGTGGTAGGTGAGACCGCCCCTGGCTGAGGACTGATGGAATAAAGGAATCTGAGTGGCAAATAATCTGAAGTCGCTTTGTGAATTAATTGAACTATCTAGACACCGTCTAATCTGTCCATGTCTAAACCTGGCCTTCACTACACCTTTCCTCTGAATGTACTGCTTTCTAATTGACCATGACACAGGACTACAATATTTAAAAATATATTGTACTTAAAAGAGAATTAAACTCAACAGATTTTAAATCAGGAAAATTTATAACTGTTTCAAACTCCTTATTAAGCTTTTTAATTGTTACTCATTCAGTGTATTCCCCATGCCTCATAAACTTAAAGAAAAAAAAAAAGAAATTATTCAATAGACCAGCCAAATGGAAGAGGCTTTTATTTTTAAAGAAATGAACTTAACAGCTGGTCTACAATATATTATTGAATTATAAACAACATAAATAAATGATCCTGCAGGCCCACTAACCTTCCATCCAGACCCACATGAAGCAATGTTACAACAATATTCTATGTGAAAATGTGCAGGTAACAAAGGTGCAATTACAAGCAAGTTTAAGCAGCAGAGTATAAGGTGCTTTAATTTAACAGTTAATGTTGCCATCAACAAACATTTGAATGCTTAATTTTAACTTTACTGAATACAGACACAACAAATATGGAAATCTAAAATTAATATACATGCTACCTGTTAATATGAAAGTGCCTTCTCTTTTTTAAAAAAATACACCAAATGGACAATCTTTTTACATAGATCATGGTGTGCTCTTATAATGGAAAATTAACTTCATTTTCAGGTTATACATTTGAAAACTGTAGCTACAGACACCAATCTAAGAATGCTAATGCTAGGAGTGCTAAAACTATTCAATTTCCTGTAAGGAGGACTCTAATACAATATCCAATGTAAAGAATACATTTATATATAATCTTAACATTTGTTTTCTGTAAGGATAAAAAATGTTTTCCTCCCCTTGGTGATGCTTCATCCTGGGTGGATCAGCTTTTGAGGCTTTAATAACATGAAAGTCCTATTTAAGAACAATGTGAGGAACCAAAAGGAGGAATAAAAATCAGTTAATGTGTGCTTGAAGCATCAAAAATTAGTATGTTTTATAAAACCAGTTTATCATAATTTGCCTTTGTTAAACCAACAACCAAAAAATATTACCCACCAAGACAAAAAGCACTGACCCAGCAGAAGCCCTACATGCCCACCGCCAGTGTTGGCAGCCGCCCCGCACACAGCCCTCGGCCGCTGCAGCGCTCACCACCGGCGTGCTCCTCACTCGGAGGGTAATGTTGGAACCTACTTTGACTTTTTCCCCCTATGGCAAAAAAACAAAATGACCAAGATTTTGAATTAGGTGATTGGGAACGTGGTTAAACGTTCTGGAAACATCCACAATCATACCATCCTTGCAAACTCCAATGACTTTTTAAATTTAAATAATATATATATACAAAAAGTATTTATGCAATATATATTTTAACAGCATAAAATATTTCTTAAATTGGGTAAATTAAGACAGACTGTGCCATGGCAAAAAATTTTAAATCTAGACTATCAAATTACTTGGATGTCAGTATTCCTGTTTTTAAGAAGCTGTGACTTTGATGCATAAAAGGATTTTTTAATATTAGGTTGTTTAAAAATCTTTATAGAATGTTAGTATCAAGCAATGTTAATATATATAAAGCTGTATTAATAAGATGATTACAGTGTGATTCACAGAATCCTCATGTGGTAAGGAGTCCTCTACCCAGTTAAGAATTGATCCCATTCAATGCTCACTCCCCAAATAGCTGTCAGTTTAAACACTGAACTCTTGCCCTGACTGGGCGGCTCCGTTGGTTGGAGGGTAGCCCCACACCGAAAGGCTGCAGTTTCGGTCCCTGTCAGGGCACAAGCCTAGGCTGCAGATCCTTGGTTGGGGACGTGTACGAGAAGCAATCAATCAGTGCTTCTCCCCACCCCTTCTAAAAAGCAATGAAAAAATGACCTCAGGTGAGGATAAAAAAATGACAACAACAAAAAAGAATTCTTTTATGTTTACTAGTTCTACATTTCAAAGGAGACCCCTTTACTATGTAATATGTGCTTTCTAAAGATTAGGTATTTATAATAAAAGTTATTTTATGTACTTTCTTGTTTTAAAAATAAACCAAAACCAAATAAAAAACAAAACCTGTTCAGCTATGTCCTTTGAGATTTTTCAGTTTTAGATAATTACTTCACTGTCAATACTGGGTGTAAAGCTTTTACAGTTAAACTGTATGGTAAGTCGGGTGGGCGGGGCAGGGGAGAGCAATGGGCAAAGACTGGGACAACTATAATAGAATAAAAAAATAATTTAAAAAATTTATAGTAAGTCAGCACCAGTGTCTGTATGGTTGTCACACACCCTGCATAGTAACACTTCTGGAATAGATTCAAGTGTCAAAATGATTCTTAGAAATATGGGCTGTCACAACAGTCTCAAAATATAAATTCTTAGTATTAGTACCCTTAATTTTATAACCTAATCAGGTATATGACTGACTGATGTTTAGTGATTCACTGAGACCCTTACATATCTAGCCTAATCCTTCCCAATGCATACAAAAATTCCCTCAGTCCCAACTGTACAGTCAGTGCATTAAGTAATAATAATTGTGTATATCTGTTTAAAATGCAATCAGAATTTTGTTTGGAGAGATTCTGTTTACTTATTACTAGTCCCTTAGGTCATGTGCAGCACACACCGCACATAGTAAATGTTCAAATGGTTTGCTAAGTGAATGGATGAACAGATGAATGATACTGTTCATGTGTGTTCACAGATTCCGTGGTTAACTAGCAGGAGAAATTTAGAAAAATGTCCGCATTTGCTTGTCTGTCTGAATTTTCTGCCTCATCCCTTAGGACAACAAAAACAAGATGACCAAGGAAATAATGCTTAATAATGATCTTTTAGCAATAGCTCAGAAGTATGAAATGAACTGTTAAAAGGGAGTGAGAATTAAGTAGGAGCAACTTAAAAATATCCCATTATGTGGCCCCAAATTATAGTTTTAGAGCTGGGAGGAAACTCATAGATGATTTAACCCAAACCAACATTTTGAGTAGGACAGGCTCCGTGCTGTATATTCAGAGGAGGAAACGGGTTAAAAGGAAAGTAACTTACACTGTCATAGCTAATTCATCAAATGCATGTAAAATAAAGCCCGTTCATCACAGTAACAGAATGATTATGTTCATCTATTGCTTAATTATTGAAGCAGATTATTTAGTACTACCTAAAACAAAAAGGATTATGGCTTCTAACATTCTAAACAAAGATTTAAACAATGGATACTTCTGGTGTTTTGAGGCAAGACCGAAAACTTGAATAGATTCATGTTTATTTCACTCCCAGCCCCACCACCCTCATAAAAACTGACTTCTTCACCTCCATCAATTAAAGCTCCCAAAACACAGATTTAGCACTGATAATATTTCCAAAAGTGTAACTTTTGGGCCAATAATGATGGCTACTATCAATCTTTAAGAAGATTACTACAGTCAATTTAAATAGGTCATCTAAAAGGACTTATTATATTACTCTCAAATTTTAAACTATGCCACAGCAGTGTAACTTTTAATTTACATTGATTTCTTTCTCCAAATTAAGCTTCATTAATTACTATGCTTTTAAAGAATAGATTTAAACACCTTTGCACAGGTTTTCTTTCTGTGGATGCATATTTACACCCCTGGTATCACTGACAGCAACTGTATTTTTCAAAGACAATAGAAAAAAATATCTTTCTAGAGTACCTCTTTAACATCCGAGGTTAAAAATGTCATCTTAAATAAAATTAAATGTTCATAAGCTATAAAAAGGAAAGAGATGAAACATTCGTGGAAAACATTTCCCAAAGGGTTCCACAGACATGGCACTCTGTTGAAAGGTCGTCCGTCCGAGCAGAAGGGGACCGTTTCCACTGGAGGTGCCGGGTGTCAGACCTGGAAAGGGAGGGGTCACCCCCTCTGTGCACACTAACCAGAGTGCGCGTGCAGAAAACAATGTTTTGCTGTGGAATATGATGGTAATAATTACATTTGTATTAGTGCTTTACAACTTTCAAAAAGAGCTTTCTTATATTATTAAGTTAGATTAAATCAGCTCTAAAAATAATGTGTAAAACTAGAATGCTTAAAAATTTAGGAAACTTTTTCTAAAGACAACATAATTTTTAACATTTTTTAATTGAAGAAATGGCTTGTATTGCCGCTCTGAAGGAAATTATATGATGACGTGTTTTTTGAACTTCTAACCAAAGAGGATTAGCTTCCCAAAGAATTCTTTTAAAGATATATAGCTTTTAACAGGTTGAAATTAAATTTTAGTAAAATTGCATATTTACTTTCCCTAATACTGTATTTGTGCTTATCTAAATTGAATCAACCTTTAAGATGAAATCAAATGTTCTGAACAGATTCGAGTGAGAATGGAAGAGTGTGTGATCTGCGCAGCATCAAAGAAACAGAGGCAGGCTTGCGTTGACGGAAATCCACACTGATCAAGAAAAACTTACAGCCGGCTCTTAGCCATCCAATTCTTGGACTGAGACACAAACTAGCAACTAAAATATGATCTTAAAACTGCTTTTCTTTATAAAAATTGATAAGGTTGACTCAACTGTGGCATCTGAAAGCGAATACTCAATAACTGATTACAATGATAATGATTAACCTTTGAGGTTTTGACAAATACTTTCCAACAACAATAGCTGTCGCCTCTTTCAAAGTCAAAAGTAACTCATGTATCACTGGAACTCTTAATGTGCTCCTAAGGGCAGGGCCACCTGACACAGAGTGAAAGAATGGAGGCTGAATACAGGTAAATCCCAACACACTAAACACTATACCCTGTTATTGTGTAACAGGGGTCCAGCCATTACAATTTATTATTTTGAACTACTGGAGGCCTATCTGTACTGCATGACCTCACTCAGTCAACCGTGCTGTCCCCTTGGGTCTGGAGCGCTCTTCCTCCTGTCCGTGGTCTCCTCCCCACTTCCCAACCCTCCACCCTGGAAAACGCACAGGGAGCAGCTGCAGCGAACACTGTGCATAGACAGGTGTGCCGGTTCTGCTGCCCCAGAGGTTTCACTGAAACCTGACGGTTAGAAACTAGAAAGCCCTTTCCAGTTACCTTCCTAAAATTAACCCCACTGCAAGACCCTCTCCGAGAATTTTCAGGCAGAGGTCTCTTTGAGAAGAACGTCTTCACGCTGAGTTTAGGGCTAGAGGAGGCTTAGGCGGGTAAGGTGTGAGGGCGGCCCTTTCGTGCCACTAGGTAATGCTCTATGCTAGGTGCACAATCACTGCGTGTGTTCCTGCCATTCACTAAGAGCGAGGATCTTCTAACCACAAAATATAACCAGGTTGTTTTGGTTGACAGTAATCTTTAAAATGTTTGAACAGTGTGTCCAGTCAGGGATTTCGTCCTTTTGACACAGCTGTGCGGAAACATCACTCACACACACCTACAATAGTTTATTCTTTCTGAAACTATTTCCACACTCGTAAACACAACCTAAGACTACACAATCTATATATATTGCCTCCCTAGCACACTTGTGCCAACACCCTTCAAATGCAGACAATGGGACTTAATAACATTGAACTGAACACATCAGTGGCAGGGGCACTGGGGCAGATCTCAATCTACGACCAGTGTTGGAATAAATGCCCGACTGTCACTTCACACTGGTTATATGAAAATCAGCTATGTCAAAAATTATTCAAAGGCATGGACATAAAAATATTTCATACAATTCTAAGTGTTTCAACACACCAGGAAACAAAAATAAAAAACAGTGGGCCACTTAAAGTCATTTCCATTTGAAACTAGGTAAAACGTGAGCACTAGCTCCAAAGTGCAGACACCTGCTCGGCGCTGAGGCGGGATAAGCTAATGAGCGCAGCAGCCGCCTCTCCCATTCCCGAGTCTCTTCACGGGCATCTCTCCCATCCCACTTCACCTTCTCTCCTTCCAGGTGACAGTCCTGAAAGTGGGACTAAAAACACCCCTGTTTACAGGATGCCACTGCAAATCAGAAATACCATCTTGGAAATACTTAAATGCCACTTTAAAAAGTGACAGGTTTTGGGACAGCAGTCTGTCTCATACCACACCAGTGTTATCAAAGCTGCGTGGCTGTGTCAGACACCCAGGTGTGAGGGTTTCTGATGAAAACCCGTGTCACTTGAAAAATAACTTTTACAAACCAGCTCTCTCTGCTTGTTTACTTTCTTAGGAATGCATGGCTTAAAGCTTTTCCCTCAATGGAAAGAGATTGCATCTGTTTAAAGAAGTCAGAAAATGTGAACTTAAGTGGCAAAAGTAGGAAGAGCGTCCCATATCCCCTTTCTGCTTGTCATTCCCTCTCGTCAATCAAAATTCTGAAACAATAATATGAAGGAAAAATGAAAATAATTGTACTCTTCCCATCTATATCATAAGAAAACTGCTTAAAGCTCAGGAGAGAGGTGGAGACCCAGTGTGATCACCCATGTCCATTATACATAACTGAAACTAAGACGGTTTAATTATCTTGAAAGAAAACAGCTGCATCGAAGGTGAGAATGACCAGCTGAAAGCACAGGAGCCATTTCTAAATGAAAAGATTCAGCTGAAAAAAGCAAGTATACTCTCTGCTATTTTCTGAGTGGAGACAACAGAAGATCTAGAGTATTCTTAAGATTATTATTATTATTATTATTATGAGATAGAAGATTATAAGGTGCTCTCACATAGAAACCCCTCTGGCAAGCTTTCTTGGACACTTAACACAGTGCCAGGCACAAGACTGCTATTGGAAGGGGTGTAAATAAAAGGGGAACCTGTAACAGTCCAAAGCTAACACCTTGAAGGCTATAGATAATATAGTCATGGGAGGTAATCATTATTGCAAGGGGAATCTCTCCCGAATAATCAATTTTACATAAGCTGTGGTTTATCTATAATCAAGTTTTAATTCCTTTGTGTCCCCACCCCCATACAGTGGGCCATCTGTAATTGTTCTGAAATTGCAACATGAAGGAAAAAATCAAGCCTGTGACAACTCTTGTCACAATGATTAAATGCTAATAAGTGAAAGTTGCCTACAGAGTACCTACCTTACCTTGAAAGTTGAATGTGATCGTTAAAAACGGGACACAAGGAAATATGTAACACAGACTACAAGCTATTGCAGGTCTGGAACAGGAGCCTTACACTGTACTACACACACTCTAATCCTACATGTAACTATCAGTAAACATCGTTTTTTAAATGTTACTACACAAAAGAATCCCACAAAGCATACATTCAAACAAGAGGCATCTAAAGATTAAAAAAATTACCCGCTGTATTTTTGTATAAAAATAATCAACATTCTCTAATGTACACAAAGCCGAAAGATAAATATCTGTGATGTCCTCAGTGACATCTTTAAGTCTTCTACTAGCTCAACACAATCTTTCTGAAAAGAGCAGTGACCGTGACTGAAACCCATGGACTCTTTCCCACTTACGCCAAATATCTATGCACGTTCCTTCAGTTATAAAACATTCCCATTGTGTGGTAAAGATAAGATGAAAAAGATTCAAATTCTTGATGTCCAGGACTATAAAGCGCTTAGGACTCTTATAACTTTTAGTGTCATAATTCTAACAGATCCCTAACTGTTCAGTGAAAGGTTCTGCTTTAAAAATTCTTCCCCTGAAACATGTACATACAAAATTACATTTCACCATCCAAGAGATATCACTTGGTAAGTGCTTTGAAGCAGTATGCAGGGCTTGAGTCAAGGAAAAAGGAATATGCTTTCTAGCTAGACCCAGCATGTTCAACATTAGAAAAACCCCAAAGACCACACATATAAGCCTACCACAAACAAACAATTGCTTTGTCAGCAAAGGCTGTGCGTGCACTGATTCATAAGGTAGAATCAGATTATGCCTTCTGTATAGGAACATCAGAGCAGGGAGATATTGCAGGTAATATAAAACATCTTCTAAGACTCAAATTCCTTGTATGCTAGTCTTCACTTTATCAGTCAATTTAATGGTCCCCCCCACCACCACTTTTCTAGTATGCAAACACTGGGGAAAATACTTCAGCAGAACACTGATAATATCTGAAATATTTCCATTGGATAAAGTATGCCTTTGGATGAAAAAGAGAAATGTTTGTAATTCCTGCCCCAGAGTTTCTCAACCCTGGCACTACTGACATTCTGGACCGCGTAACTCTGCTGTGGAGGGCTGTCCTGTGTGCTGTGGGAGAGACAGCAATACCCCTGTCCTCCATGTGTTAGCACAAGAGCCACCCACCCTCATCCACACAAGCTGTGACAACCAAAACGTCCCCTGGGCAGCAAAACTGATCTCCGTTGGGAACCATAGCTCTAGATGTACAAAACCTAAGAGGAAAACTTTCCAGCTACAACAAATTCTTGGTCAAGTTTGGAACAGAAACCAACTCTTCGGACTTCCAGATCAGTATTATTCATGCTAGAATGCAATTCTTTTTTACAGACAAAGCAGCTTTCTAACAGACATGTTCTTTTAAGATGCTCTGGTAGCTCACTGCATACGATCCTTGTCACTGGACTCCTAAATTATCTCTCATGACAACCTGTGGAAAACTTATAGAGTAGGAAAGCGTATAACAAAATTGGTTCAAAAGAGGAAAAACATAAATCATTAAATTACTTTTAAAAGAATTCTTTATATTAATGATAAACATTACTTCTTAAAAAATTATGTACTATAACATATTTCTTTGAAAAATATCATGGCCCTCTGTAACAAGTCTTTATGTTGTGTGTCACCTGTAAAATGAATTTCACCAATGTTGGCTGATTATGAAAATTTATGATGAATTATTGTATCTGTAGAAGAAATATCAGCTTCTGATGTGGAAATCCCAATGTACTTGGCTATCCACCACAATAAGTGATAATATTCCAGGCCTTCAGGCCAACCTTACGAGTTTGTTTAAGAAGAGTAAAACTCCTGTTATCTCAAAGGCTCCTGATCCTGTTAAGACTCCTTCAGAGAGTTGATGCGTGCACAGATCTTCAGGGCTGGGCCCAGCTTGATATTCATTGCACTCATAAGATGGTCTTCTTTTAGCAAGAGAAGGGCCTGTCCATCGATCTCTTGTGCTCTGAACTCATCTGCGATATCCTGGCAGCCTGGAATTTGATCGGAGGAAGGAAGTTAGAATTAACACACAATAAGGACGCGTTACTCCTAACAGTCACAGCTATGCTCTCCCTGGGCCTGAGTCTCTGAAATACAGGCTGAGAAACGAATCAGATTTATTTACGGTAGTCTTAGGTTCACTCCCGAAGAAGAGAGTATCCCTTGGCATTCTGTAAATAAAAGTTAATACAAAATCCAAATAAAGCAATTTACTTGGAATTCTAGTTCTAAACATAATATAGAAATAATTAGTAAGAGTCAGGTGAAATGCTCAGAGTGATCAGTCTAGATATAGCATATCTTCACAAAAAGGACGACGTGTCACCTCAAAACATGCCACACACACAACAAATTTAGATTAACTACTTATTAAACCTCACGAACGTAACTTTCTATAATATATCCTTCATGTACAGATGCACAGGAATAAAATGTAATGTTCTGTCATTTAAATAACAATTTAGAAATATTTTCTTACGTACCAAAGTACCACTTTCATTATCACTTGTACCTTATTTTAATTTACAACATTCAGTGGCAAGCATACCTAAAACATTTTTTATTGTTCCCTCAGGACAGAACCAACCCATCCAGATTGTAGTACTGCTCCACTGGAATGCTACGGAAACCTACTGTACTGCTCAACTTGTAATTTCGGCTCCAAATCTTAGTATCATAGATTCATCTCCACTTTTCAAACATAAATTCTCTTTGAAATTAGACCTTACTGGCAAATCTCTTGCCAAATAACCAACATTTTAGCTCTCAGTCAAAACCAGGTGCTTTTTAAGGTAATAAACACAATGCTAGCATCTGTTTGAACTCCAAATGTTTTTATTATCCACCAAATTTTACAGTCAAGTTACTCAATAAACTTTCCCAGGAAGGAAAAAGAAACTATCAGGTAAGGTAATGCATTAAAGAATCAAGAAGAGAGAGCCAAATGTAGAAGCTTCCTTAGACAGTAACATTATAAAAATATATTTAAGAATAAATACTAATAGCTTAGTCTCTATTTCATTCAAATCAGCATTTTAAGGGAAAACACAAAGAAAAAGATAAAAAACAGAAATAGTTACATCAGACTTTTGGATACCACAACTTTGAAGAAATAAGTATCTTTCTATTGCAAACGTATAATCCTCTTGTTTATACAGATAATGAATTCATTCCCCATAACTCCGACACCAAGTACAAAGCACTGTGGGTGCTAAATAAACATATTTTTGGTAAATGAATTACTGAATGTGAATAAAGAAACAATGAACAAAAAATAGAATCTGCTGCCGAGATGCTACAAGTAAGAGTAACCCGAACACTTCTTTTATATTCTGCTGTATGGTCATCTTTTCTCTTACGTCTTTTGCCTTCTTTGTTGGTTGAATCTTTCCTATTTCCCCCCCTTTTCCAGTATGTATACACTGAGAAGAATACTTCAGCAGAACATTTGCCATGTTCTCTACTTCAATAATTTGTCAGACTCTTAAACATTGACAATTCAGAAGTATCCTATGCAAATTTTTTATGGTTTTGCCCATTTACATATAAAAGAAACTATTCCGTTAAAATGGAATTACTCACCATAGAAAAGCCTCTTTTCTTTTCCCAGAGGTAGCTCTCAAAACTGGGCAGATAAAACTGACTAATCTTGCATCTAGCTGTGACTTCATTGTTCTTTATATGAAAGAACTAATGTTCTTCTCTCTTCAGTCTTACTTACAAGAACACAGGAAAGAAAAGAAGAGAGAGAAAGACAGGGTAGGACTTACTTAGATTCAGAAAACAAGAGCAATGAGAAGTAATGAGGACCGTAAGAGCTACATTTGGGAATAGAAACAAGGAGTTCTCCATGAGGGAAATATATAGCATGTGCTGGTTCCTCTGCATTATGAGATTCCTCTTCAAATGTCTTCTTGTAGGTGGGCAATAAATGTATCAGCAAAATAATAAAGAACTAAAGTGTTTAGGAAGTAGCATGATCAAATATGGAAGCATTATCTTCAGAATTTTGGATCACAATTTTCTCAAGCCAAACAAAAAAAAAGGGGTGGTGTTGGTTATACTATACATTAGTACAGAAATGAAAAAAATACAGTAACTTAAAAGAGAAAAAGGGACAAAAATAGATAAATATGCTTCCAGAAAAATCATTAGAGAAAAATGAATTTTTAAAAAATTCTAGATGCTTAAGGTATGCTGAGGTAAAGTTGCACCAGTTTCTGACATTAGAATCTGCCTCTGTAAAATGGCTGAGAGCCCGGGGACACGTACAGACCACACCCCAGCTGCTGAAACCAGCTGGCTGGCTGCACCTCACCAGAAACAGCTGTCAGGGTGCACACAGACCTTAGCCACCGGACATGGGTCACAACTGAACTTGGTGGGCATCCAGCCACTTTTCTAGACAAACTCAAAATAAACTCACCCTGCACAAAAAATGACCTCAGTATGGTTGGTGAAAAGATACCCCCTTCCACACAATACACAGAATAATCAAGTCCCAACGGTAGTCTTGTGAAAACCAGTGAAGAGTCATGTTTTATACGAGTCCTACACTTTCTGTGCCAACAGAGAAACCAAATCAACTGCAGATCCGCAGATCAGATCGATAAATACAGGATGAAGTGATTTGCAAAAGGCAGTTCACTTTTCAAGAAAAAGTTAAAGAAGATAACTGCAATTAACTGAAAAGAAATAGAATCATTTCTGTAGCAAACTTTTTAATGCACAAAAATTTAGAAGAAAATTCTTCCTTCTGGTAACAGCGCTGAGATTGGGGTGTACTAAACACTGGCTCTAGTACGGTCCCACCAGGATGCTTCACAAGACGACATTACACAAAGAGAAGAGGAAACTCCAGGAGTAAATTTAGGTGCCCTAATAAAAGAGGAAAGCCTAACCTCACCCAGAAAGCAACAAAACACCGAAAGAGTACAAAATTTACAAGCTTGTTCATTCAATGAAAAAAACTGGGGAGTAGACTACCTGGGGAGGAGGGGGCAGGGAACAAACAAACAAACAGCCCCGAATGAGCTGCAAGGGGCTCAAAAGGAAGTTTATAAAGGCCAGAGAAGCCTAGGAAAATGAAGATAAAGGCTTATTCTAATATGAGGTTTACCTTAAGCTTATAGGCATTATATAGAGAAAAACTTTGAGAAAGAAAATATATTGATCACACAAAAAAGCTTGTTATTTAACCTATCAAAGCAGTTTGAAAACATTCCCACTTAATCAGTAAAAGAAAAGCAGTTATATTAAGCAGACTCTTAAACAGTCCCAAGCAATTCTCAATTATAAAGCAGTCTTCTTTTAATGACATGTAATGTTCACTAAACACTAGGAACAAAATTAAGTGTCTTGACGAACTGAGTAAGACAAAGGAGTCTTTGTTCTAATAAAAGCAGCCAGGGTATCCTCATGTCAAACGGATGCTAGGGAAAATTAGAAAATTAGCCCTAAAGAAAGCACATGAAGTGACAAGACTCAGCATGCTCTGTTACTTGTTCACTAGCCAACTACTGTCTTCAGGATATGAACGCCACCCCCAGCCCGGAAGAAAGAGAAGCACGTGCCACCACAGGAGAAATCCCACTAACACACAGCTCCCGTGCCCCAGCTGGAGGACTGGGACAACTTCTGAAGATGACACAGTCAAAGTCTAGCCCAGGAGATCAGTACAGATTTTAGGCTTAAATCTCAAGATTAATCTAAACTGTTCTAAAATCTAAAACTTATTTCATTAAGTATTAAAACCACAAACAGCAAAGACTCACCATCCTCTAATACATCGGTTTTAAAGCAGATTATAAACCCACATGGCCAGCACTTAACTCACACCTAAGTTTTCTTAGGTGTATGCTTAAAAATCTTCCCTGAAAAATGTATCCCTCTTTAAACAATTTCTTTTCTTTAAAAATGACCATATGTTGTTCTTCTTTTAAAAAAAAACTTATTTAGCATGTCTAAAACAAGCTTTCAAATAAACAATTTAATAAAATCCCAGAGTTCTGAATATAAGGTAAAATGGCTGACGGGTTTTTAAGGAGCAGTAACACTGAATACATTCCCTTCACTCTCACAGCACATTAGCTGTAAGTTTCCTTCCGAGACAGTGGTCACCTGCACAGAAAATAGCTGGATTAATTCTAACAAGCCTATAGACAGCCTCAAAGGGGACACATTTCCCTGGAAAGCTGTGTCAGGAGAAATGGTATGATTCACAATAAAACCAAAATGGAACAAATTTTTAAATCTCTTTGTGTTCCACATTCATAAGGCCAAAGTGAATGATAAGATTCATTGATTTAAAAGAATATATTGTCTTAGCATACATAACCAGTGTGGATCTCATCATAAGTAGATGTCTTTAGTAGCCAGCCAGTGGACATAAAGGATTACTGCTGCATTAAGGAAAAAAGATAAAGAACTTAAAGATTAAGCTGATGGAAAGAATACCAAAATGAGAGCAGAAAAACATAAGAAAGTTATCCTCAATATTGGAAAAGACTATCATAACTGGATGCTAGTTGTCTACTTAAAAAATCAAATTTGGGAACTGTTCATGATACCTACTTATTGCAAAGAATCGAAGAATGCAGCTTCCTTTTAAAGAACAAGCCTGATTTTTTAAAAGAAACCAAAATCGTATCATATTCTAAAAGGTCTTCATTAATTTTCAAAAATGTAAAAAAAAATTACAGTCTCTCTTATTTCTTTTTAAAAAAGGTTAATTTAGGAAATAAGGAGAAAACAGAATAGAAAAATAGAGGAGCAGAAGGGAAGAAGTCTGATTCAATCTCTCTACTGACCTCTCGAGAGAAATCAGACTGAAGAGAAGAGAGCACCTTTAATATCTTCACCGGCTGGGGTGTCACAGCAGAAGCAGGACTAGTCAGTTTTTATCGACTTGGGGGTATGAGAAAATACCCAGTTGTGCTGAGGGAATAAGCAAGAGGAGACAGATCACATTTCAATAGCAAGTGGCATTTAATTGATATACACACATAAGTACTTCTTTAGCCCTTTCGCGCAATAGGTGTGGGTGGAGCTAATGTCATACCTGTGTGTGAATGCACAAGAAAATTATGAAGGCCGAAGTGCCGAATTACATACCAGGCAAAGAATGGATGAAGGCCCAGACATCATCAACTGTCCATATAGAGGGCTCTGTTTGTGCAACTGGTAGCAAGTCATTGTTCTCAGGCATTTTCCTAATTCTCACATCCCGAAGCTCACGCTCTCTTTCCCGCTCACTCTGCCTTCGCAGGCGTGTTGTCATAGCAGATGGCACAGGATCTTCATGAGAAGCCAAGTCTTCTTCTGCAGATGGATAAGTAATTGGAAGCTGGAAAATGTAGTACAAGTAAAATACAGCATTGCACTTTCCTTGCATTACTGAAAAGGGTATTGTACATTGAAGCAAGGTTTCTACAGACCTGCCTAAGGATATGTTCTCTTGCTGCCCCATCAGGGCCACTTGGACGACGGCCACGATGCCCAAGACTCTGATTATCAGGCTTACGATTCCAACGACTAAGTGCAAATTTTTTAGAACAGCTAACATTGTACCTAAGAAATTCAAGTAAGAAAAAATATTAAATGATATATGGGACACTCTATTTAGTAGTTAATTATGACTTTAAAGTGAATTTGTGAATCAGTAAGTGTCATATACTTCATTAAGAACTGTAATACCTCAGAGAGTACCATAGTGTTCAGTGGATTTACTTATGCCAATAGTCAAAAACTGGCTTCTCATATATCTGAATAATACATCTCTCAATCTAATACTGGACAAGTATTGATATTTTCTCCTAATAACAGCATGATAGTGGGAAACTTTCTGCAAAATAGAGAACAACTGATTTTTACGGCAGCATAATAATTCAAAGTTCCAGGAGAAAAAGAAGTTATGAATTAACTATTTAGATGTTCATCCAAACTGCTATTTTCCCAAGTAATAATTTCTAAAGAGGGATTAATAAACATAAGTTAACACAATAGAGAAAGCGAAAATCTCAAACGGCTAAAAGATTTTTAAAAAAGTATTACTGAAATCAAAGAGTGAAAATGTAAAGTTGAGATTTCAAAGATATACAAGAAATTCACAGCTTTCACTCTTCAGGGAATTTAAAAATACGTAATTTTTTAAAACTGACTGAAAGATTTTTATCAAAATAGACTAGTATATTTGAATAACCTTAATAAGGCATAACAACAGCTTAGAAGAGTCCTGTGCCATTTATTGGGTTGCAAGGCCCTAGAACAGGGGCCAGGGAGCTTTCTCTATAAAGAGCCAGAGTAAAAACATTAGGTTTTGTGGGCCACTAAATCTCTGCCACAACTGGTCAACTTTACGATTTTACCATGAAAGCAGTCAACACATAATGAGCATAAATGTGTTTCAATAAAGCTTCATTTAGTAACACTAAAATTTGAATTTCCCATAATTTTCATGAGTCACAAAACATTTATTCTTTTGATTTTTTCAACTACCCCCAAATTTAAAAACCATCCTTGGCTCAGGGGCCATACAAACATAGGTTACAGGAATGACTCGCCTGGGCAGTTTGCCAACCCTGCCCCCAGATAGAAGAGTGAAAACAAATCAAGAAACAAATTTCTAAAAAGCTATAGAAAGGCTAAGAAAAATACATGCAATTCCTTTTTAAAAAAAAAAAATCCTCACCTGAGGATTTTAGGGAAGGGATGGAGAAAAAGAGAGAGATAGACAGATAGATATTGGGTTGCCTCCTGTACACACCCTGACAGGGGATCAAACCTGCAACCTATGTATGTGCCCTGATAGGGATCGAACCCACAACCTGTTGGTATACAGGATGATGCTCTAATCAATTGAGTCACCTGACCAGGGCTGCAGTTCCTCTTTTTTTAAACACATATAAAATTGCCACTGTAATTTCTTATTTTCAAAACTCTTTTGCTCTAAGATTTTTCAGAAAAATGACAAGAATTAATCTCAATTAACTTTGCTATTGATAACTGTCTAGGACCAATATATAAGATACCAAAATAAATTTTCCTCATGTACATTTTATGGTGGAAGTAAGGAGCACTGTAAGAATGAATAGGCTTTCCCCCTGATGGCCACCTCATTTTACCCTAAAACAATTTAACAAGCTCCTGCTGTGCTCATTACTCTCATCAATAGGCTCAGCTCTGTCAGTTTCTGATTTCCATTCTTATCAATTGACAGAACTTCTTTCCTCACTGACTAAAGATCAGAAAACAGAGACTAAGTTTACATTTGCTATTTAGTCCCTAAAGACTTACATCTCCATGACAGTCACTTAAACAGCAGCAGTTCCCCTTGACATAACTTACCCTCCTCTCTTTGCTGTCTCTATTTCCCTACATTAGGATCCCTAACCTTCTCAAGAGGTTCACCTAAAGGTATAAAAATGTGGCAACTCAGCAATTATCTCTGGGAGAAGAGTGATGATAGCGTTAAATAGAAGTTACGAAATATTTCTAAAAAAGGAAAATGTTTAAAATATTCAGAAAGGTAGTCTTTTCCCCTTAGAGTTTTTGATCATTTAGAATCATAAGGCCACTGTTCTTTCTTGTGGTACACACAAATGGGAAAACTCTCAAGTTAAACAGGAGTTACATGATCTTATTAGGGTTATCAGTAACATAAAAGAATGTCTGGGGACTTCTGGTCAAGGCGGCAGCATAGGCAGACATGGGCCACCTCTTCACACAACCACATAAAATTACAACTAAAATACAGAACAACTATCACTCAGAACCGTCAGAAACTGAGTTGAATGGAAGTCTGACAACACAGAATTAAAGGAACCACATCCATCCAGTCTGGTAGGAGGAGCACAGACGTGGAATGGGCTGGTCACACACACACACACACACACGGTGGATAAAAATTCCGGAAGGATACCTTGGGAGTGAGAAGTCCCAGCCCCACACCAGGCCCCCCAGCCCAGGGTTCCTGTGCTAGGAAGAGTCTACAACTTCTGGCTGTAAAAACCAGCAGGGATTGAGACAGTGGAAGAAACTGCTGCAGCACCAGCAGTTCCTCTTAAAGAACCCACGCACGGACTCACCTACTCAGACTCACTCCCTCTGAGCTCCAGCACTGGAGTAGCAGCTTGAAAGGCACCAGTGGTATACAGGAGTATACAGTGGTATACAGGGAGAAAGTACAGGCATCAAGGGGAGCAGAGGCCAATGTCCCTTTTCTGAACGCTTAGCCCACAGAGCCAGCAGGTTGGTGCCATATCTGATACTCCATCAACCTGCCTAACACTATTTGACCCACCTAGGAGATCCCCCTAGATCCCCGGAGACCTCACCCCACCAAACTGACAGACCCACCCAAGCTGCTTTTCCATATGAATGGCTTGTCTTGGCTTATGCTTCACAACTTCCTAAATCCTTTCAAACAAATAAATAACTTCAGTGAGCCCAAGGCCTGGTCCTAGCAGCAGATAGCCTAGATTCACAACTTGGCTTTGCCTGGGAATCTCCAAGCCCAGCAAAGTAGCAGCCTTCTGAGGCTACTTTATAGCTCTGGAAGGGTAAATCCATGCAAAACACAGGTGGGGGTTAAACCTTGGCCTGCACCACCTGGGAAACCCCAGGGCCAGTGCATGCAGTGGAGAGCTCCAGATCATGTCGGACCACCACCGCCCTGCCCCTGCACAGCTCCTCCATGGGTGGAGGTTGGTGACCAGTGGTTGCACCCAGTCCTTGCAGCTGACTGGCCTGGGTAAACTCCTCCCACTGACCCGTGAACAGCAACCAAGCTGAACTACAAGAGGAAGGTGTACTCAGCCCATACAAGGGGCACATCCTGAGTACCCAGCTTGAGTGATAGGGGAAGCTGTGCACTGCATCCTACAGGACACCTACTATATTAAGGCACACTACCAAGACACAGAACCAAAGTAGCTCTACCCAATACATAGAAACAAACACAGGGAGGCTGCCAAAATGAGGTGACAAAGAAACATGTCCCAGATGAACAGATCAAAACACCAGAAAAAGAGCTAAGTGAAATGGAGATAAGCAATCTATCAGATGCAGAGTTCAACACACAGGTTATAAGGATGTTCAAGGAGCTTAGTGAGAACCTCAACAGTATAAAAGATCCAGTCAGAAACGAAGGATATACTCATTAAAATAAGGAAGAATTTACATGGAAACAACAGTAGACTGGATGGAGCCAAGAATCAAATCAATGATTTGGAACATAAGGAAGCAATAAACAACCAATCAGAACAATAAGAAGAAATAACAATCCAAAAAATGAGGATAGTATAATCAGCCTCTGGGACAACTTCAAGAGGTCCCACATTTGCATCTTATGGGTGCCAGAAGGAGAAGGGGAAGAGCAAGAAATTGGCAATTTATTTGAAAAAAATAATGAAAGAAAATTTCCCTAATTTGGTGAAGGAAATAGACATACGAGTCCAGGAAGCAGAGAGTCCCTAATAAGATGGATGCAGAGAGGCACACTCCAAGGTACGTCATAATTAAAATGCCAAAAGTTAAAGATACGGAGAATCTTAAAAGCAGCAAGAGAAAAGCAGTTAGTTACCTACAGGGGAGTTCCCATAAGATTGTCAGCTGATTTCTCAAAAGAAATTTTGCAGGCTAGAAGGGATTGGCAAGTAATATCCAAAGTCATGAAAAGGAGGGACCAACAGCTAAGACTGTCCTACCCAGCAAAGCTATCATTTAGAATCAAAGGAGAGATAAAAGAGCTTCCCAGACAAGAAAAAACTAAAGGAGTTCATCATCACCAAACCATTATTGTATAAAATATTAAAAGGACTTATTTAAGAAGAACATAAAAACTATTAACAATAAAGTGGCAAAAAATACAAATCTACCAACAATTGAATCTGAAAAACAAACTAAGCAAACAGGAAGAACAGAGACAGAATCATGGATACAGAGAGCATTTTGATGGTTGCCAGATGGGAGGGGAGTGTGGGGGAATGGGTAAAGAGGTGACAGGATTAAGAAGCACAAACAGGTAGTCATGGAATAGCCATGGAGACGTAAAGTACAGTATAGGAAATGGAATAGCCAAAGAACATATATGCATGACCCATGGACATGAACAATGGTGGGGGGATTGTCTGAGGGAGTTGGGGGTACTGGGTGGAAGGGGGGCAAAGAGGGAAAAATCAGGACAACTCTAATAGCATAAACAATAAAATGTAATTTAAAAAAAAGAATGTCTGAATAACAGATTGACAATTGAGAAACCAATGAACCCATATTGGGAGGAAAATATTTCTATTACTTATTTAATTGTATAATACTTATACTAAGTTTTACTAAGTATATTTTGGTGGCACCATACTAAATAGTATGTTCAAGCAAGAAATTCCCTAGATAAGTAACATTAAGGTCTTAAACTCTTTTTGGAACAGAGAACAAACTTCAAAATAATCAATGTGTGCATACACTTCACCTTTAGTGGTAAATACCAATATTTGGGTTTATTATATTGATGTAAACAAAAAGTCAGCCAGATATTTCTCCAGCAAAATGGGTTTATTCTAGAACAAGTCGTTGTAACCCAGTACATGCAACCATGATGAGCCATGAAGAGTCAGACACTCCTTTCCTTCTGCTCTTCCATTTCCTATTCTATTTCCTCAATGAAGGAAACAAAATTGTTATATGTAGGGGAAAAGTAAGCTGGGAAGCTTATTACACAGTTTCCCTGTCATGCCTTGTGATCAACATAGGGTGTGAGAGCTCCCTCTTCTGGCCTCTCTACTTCACTTTAAACAAGATTCCATTTAATGAATTTTTTACCATTATCAGAATCAGAGGGATTTTTAAAATGTAAACTAAGGGAGAGACTAGATCAATGAAGATATTAAACATTCTTTTTTGTTATCAATACCATTTACCTGCAATAGTATTAGTGAAAATATAGATTTATAAAAGACAGATATTTCCTGATAATGTAACAATGTGGAGAACATGCTATAGCTGTCCTATTTAGAAACCTAAAATTAATAGAATACGATTAAAACAAAAACAACATTTTAAACAAAGTAAATCCAGGTATTTCAATATTAACAAAAAATCAGGTGATAAGACAAAAACTTTTTGATACCTTGAGGACTAGTAGTCCATCCATGAAAGGGATTTTTCTACGCATATGCTTAGCACCACGAGATTGCTACTTCAGTATTAGATTATGTTGTAAAACTAACTGTGTTATGCAAATGTAATTTTCAAAGAGCAAAATGTAATAACTAAATGCCAAAGCAGCTCCACATAATGTCTATTTGATATTATTTCTCTATATTGTAATCTCTAGTTTTGACTACTGGTACACTCTAAAAGCTTTTTGGTTTTGTTCCAGTGGTTGTTGGTTTGTGCTTTAGGAAATACAAAACAACAGAAGTACCTTTTGGCACATGACATAGTGCAGAAGCGCTTTGACCGCAGAAATTCGTTAGCATATCCCATCTTCCCACAGAATTCACACTTGAGCAACTCACTGTCCATTTCTTCCAATGTCTCTAAAAAAGAAGGAAACAAAGGGAAAAACTTCCAAAAATTTAATTGTGGCAGATTTTTTTAGCCTCTATTTTGATTGAATGCTGTTTGTTCAGACCCTCCAGGTAACTTAAAGAAATGAGCTTTGAACTTTTCAATCCACAGCCACTTTGGCAGGGCAAAGCCTCCAAAAACAATAACCTTCATCAATTTGTTCTTTCTCCTGAATAAAAATTTTGTGGAGTTTTCTCTATATACATAAGCAATATACTTTAAAGGTTCATTATGCTAAGAATCCAACATATCTAAAATGTACAAATAACTATTTGCACTACAAGAGAAATGAGGACGAATAAGACAAAGTCACAACCCTGCAGGAAGAACAGTTTCAAAAGGCACCTTGTGGGATATGAACTTCGGTACACTGTGCTGTGGAGCAATGTAGCAGATAATACTTAGTCCTCGCTGGAGAGAATAAAGATGACTTCAAAATGAAGGTAAAATTTTGATATGTCTGATTTTAGAGGAGCATGTAAAATGATGAACATTCTCAAAGATCCATAGTGCATAATACATAAAGATGTATATATCTAATTATAAAACACTCCCTATACTATACTCCCTTTTAGTTATATTAAAACAAAAATAACAGATTAATCTTTAAAATCACAAATAGTTTTATAATTTCTAACCTCTGCTTCTTTTTGTCAGGAATGCTCTCTATTAAGTTAGAATGTCCTTCCTCCACCTCAATATCCATAATTTCCTTCAAGTCACACTATCTAAATCCTCAAGTATTCAGCAGCAGTCACCTATAAGCAAGCAACTTAATCTTCATGACCCACAGTTTTTTCATCTGTAAAATGGAGTTAATAATGCCTTTTCCAAAGAATTGCAGTGAAGACTACATGAGTGCCCAACTGGTGGTAGGCACAGAAAAGTGAGAATTCCATTTCCTATTTTCCACAAAAGAACTAACAGTACCAAGAATTATAAGTGCTTAGGAAATACTTCACTGAAAACTTAAATTCTTAGATCCACCGTAGTGGATCCATTTTCTTGCATCCTTAAAATTCCTATGCAAAAAAGCACTCCACTAACTAAAACTTCTAGCTGTGAGCTCCATATGCACTTTTTTCCTATGTTATTCATTAACCACGACCTACTAGATGAAGAAAGGGACTCTGAAATGTAGCCCTGGATAACATGTACTCAATAAGCTTAAGCACCCAGATTATCTCAGTATTATTGGAGAAGCAAATGGCAAAGTGCTAAATCCCATGAAAACAGCAAGAACTACTAAAAACAAAATACTGTAAAATATTTGAAATTCCAAGGGACATCCAAATAGGAGGTCTGTCCAGAAAAAGTCTATCCATTATTAATATAATAAGAATGGTTTGCACAACTTCAATGTAACATGGCAGACAAGGAGAATGCACTGGAATACACATGTGTGAACAATGACAACTTCACTGTACTATCAGTGGGGGTGGTAGATGCCACTGAGTGAGCATGTGTACTGTGTGGCCGTCACATTCAAAGTGACTGGGTGAGCAGCAGCAAATCTGCATCCAAGTTTGTGTTAAGCTTAAACAGTCCATGGAAACTATTCAGATGATTCAGAAGCCTGCAGCTGTGGGCAACTGGTAACTGGCAACTGGCAGCTTCATCATGACAACGTGCCCACTCATACATCACATCTCATTCAGAGATTTTTTGTGAACCATCAAATCACCCAGGTGAGTCAGCCTCCCTACAACCCAGATTTGGTGCCCTGTGACTTCTGGGTTTTCCCAAAACTAAAGTCACCTTTGAAAGGGACGAGGTTTCAGACCATCCATAAGATTCAGGAAAATACGACAGGACAGCTGATGGAGACTGGGAGAACTGTGTGAGGTCCCAAGAAGCCCATGTTGAAGGGGACTGAGGCGTCATTGTCCTATGTTTCTTGTGTCTTGTTTCTTGTCCTACAATGTTTCATGTATCTTGTACCTTCTTCAATAAATGTCTTTATTTTTTCATATGCATGGATGGATACCTTCTGGACCTCATATATCGTCAATGCCTGATTGAATCATAAACTGGCAAGTGATCATTTTATGGAAATTTTCAAGACTGCTTTCATAAGAATAAGTCATATTTAGTAGCAATGAGAAAGAAATAGTTTGAAAACAAGTAAAATAAAAATTGCTCCTTTCAGTGACCTAGAGAGGGCTTTTACACAACTATGGCAAAACATCATGTTCCCAGGACCTTATGTCCTAACTTCCAGGAGTGTTGTTTTTACTCTAATGCTTGTAACTTGATCTAACCTTGAAGAGCCTGTACTAGAGAGAGAATCTTTTACTCAACCACAACTGCCACCAATCCAGCCCCAAAAGGTACATTCCTCAAGCTGTTCTATTTCCAGACTATACTGAAAGATTTGTTTTAACAGTTTTTATTAGTTAATGGACAATATGCAACAGTTGATAACAGAATACCGTATTTTGCTATGTATAATGTGCTGCCACATTTCTGTGTGCATTATACACGGGATTACTGCACCCATTATTATACCCATGGTATGTACTCATTATACCCATGTATAAGGCGCATCCTTATTTTTTCCTCAAAAATTTGGGCAAAAAAGTACGCATTATACATGGCAAAATATGGTACCTTAGAAAGGAGAAGAAAATGTTTTTGCTGGTGATAGAGGGGAGATCCTAAACAGGTATGATCTAAGGGTTAATATCCTAACAAAAAGAAAGCGTTAGTTTTATTTCTCATAAAGGAGAGAAGAACAATAACAGATCCCCAAATCCCTGTTCTAATGTTTGATCAGAATTTAACAAATTTGGTAGTTTACCAAGGCTACTTCTTCACGTATGTGAACAAAAACTACAGCACCAAATGAGTCAAAAAACTGCTGCTTTAGCTAATAAAGATTGGACTCTATGACAGAAAAAGCTGTAATTCTTCAATATTCATTCTTCACTTTTCTCTCATGCTGACAAAATCCTAATTTTTAGTTAGAAAAATAAACTACAGTTTATGCCCCAGGTGTGGTCAATTTCTGACCAACAACATCTGAATGGAAATGCTTGTAAGTACCCTTTCCTGCATCTCACTGATTAGAATATGACCGTGAAGATTAGCCATCTTGGAAACAAGAACAATGTTCTAGGGATGGCAGGGCCATTAGACACTGGCTGCTTAGGGGCCCAACATCAGGGAGCCCTATCTAGACTGCTTCCCTTTGGGCTACATCACAGAAAACTACACTTCCACCTTATTTAATCGAACATTATTCTGGGTCCCTAATGAAGAGGTCAAACAAATATCTTAACTAATAGAGGTCTCCAATTTTGTAAGAGAAGGTGTTACTTTACTTTTCCTAAAGATGTGAGATCACTTGAGGATCAGCAGCAAAAAAGAAGGCAATGGGATAGAAACCATTAGTGTGATGATTTACCAGAAAAGACCTAAGATATTTTGGTAGCCATAGGCTACTGGTTGGAGATTCTGGCTATAAAATCAGTCCAAACAGAAACAGTTTACTCTTCAAAAGGAGAATAACCCTCACATTAGGTTTTTTTTGAATACTGAATGAAACTGTATACACTACTAAAACCAAAGCCACTAAATAAGCGACCTCACCATTTAACCCTGTAGCACTTCCCATAAAGAGTAATGGACACAGCAATAGAAACACTTTATAAAATTACATTGATAAATTAAATTATGAAGTATTTACATTTTGGCACATTTTATGTAAAAATATGTACAGTATTACATGGATTAATCACCTTTTTATTGCATATATTTAACACATAACACTGTGTAAATTTAAGGTGTACGTGTTAATTTGATACACTTATACATTATGATTGCTGTTGTAGCAGTATTTACCACCTCTATCACATTACCTAATTATTGGTTTTAGTTGTTGGGATGATTACATTTTACTTTCTTAGCAAGTTTGATGATTGTAGCACAATATTGTCTATATTCATTTTATCTCCATGGCTTATTTACTATTCGTTGGTTAATCATCTTTAAATCTTCCTTTTCCTTACTCTGGAATGTTACCCTGTTAAACTACCTTTTGCTATGTCTTCCATCAATTCTTTCTTTCCTCTTTTTCACTGTGACTACAAGTATCAACTGCATGCCAAACCTCTACATTCATCCTATAAATGACAAGCACAGTTTCCAAAATCACTCTTGTTCATATCACCTGCCTAAAAATCTTCAGTAACCATCCTCTTTTTTAAAAAAAAGATTTATTTATTTTAGACAGAGGGAAAGGGAGGGAGAAAGAGAGGGAGAGAAATATCAATGTGTGATTGCCTCTCATATACACCCCCTACTGGGGACCTGGCCCACAACCTAGGCATGTGCCCTCACTGGGAATACAACAGGCAACCCTTTGATTCACAGGCCAGGGCTCAATCCACTGAGCCACACCAGCCAGGAAAGTAACCATCCTCTTAACAAGACAACTCTTACGGCTTTAGTCAAATATCCAAGGTACTCTAGAATCTGACTCTATCAGTCTTACTTCCTACCACTCTTCTCTAACCCCACCATCGCTCTTCACTGCCTCTTCCCCAAATTACCCATCACTTAAACATCCTTTGTGCATTTATTCATGGTGTTCTAACCTGAAGGGGTCTTCCTGTTTGTTACACTAAATCTGTCCTTTATCATTCAAGACCCAGGTCAGATTCCATCTCTATAGAAAATTCACCAAGCTAGCAATAACCTCAACCAGTTTTAAAGTCTCAAATTCTTACTGTCTACATAACTAGTTTAAAAGCTACCATATGTTGTTCTGTAGTTATCTTTCTGTTATGGAGATGTGCTAGCTTCTACCAGATCAAAAGATTCTCTTAGGTTCTAGCACAGGACCATATGCTCTACGTTTATTATGTACAAACCATGGGTATCGTGAAATATGAGGTGAAGCTTCCTAAGCAGTTTCCTATTTTCTCCAATGTGTACATACAGAGGAACAATATGTACACTTTATAGCCTGGAACTTTCATTTATACACTTCCTGTAGATATAGACAAGGAAAAAATCCCTGCCCATTCATCTTTACTTCTCTTCACCTCAAATGAAAGATTCTTTCAGATAAAATACTATGTACTGCAATATAACTAAAAGTAAGTATTCAGGAAATTAGACCCATAATAGCAAAAGGTAAAACGCAGGCATTGTTTGGATCCTGATTTGAACAAAATAACTACAAAAGAACATTACACAACTGATACAATTATAAAACTGGGGAAATCTGAATATGGACCAAGTACTAGACAACACCAAAGAATTATTATTGACGTTACTTTGTGTGATACAGTGTTATAGTTATATAAGAAAAAGTACAGTTTTTAGACATGCATACTAAAGTATGTATCAGTAAAATAAAATGAGGACTATAATTTTTTCAAAACAGAAATAAATGAAGAAAAAGGGAAAGAGAAAAGCAACAGAGAGAAAGAGAGAATGGGAGATGGAAGAAGAAGCCCAAAGAGATGGATGAAGCAAGTGTGCAAAACTGTTTTCGAAGCCGGTGATAACACTGAATCTGAGTGAGTGGGGATTCATTATACAATTCTAATTGTATGTATTTTAAATTTTTTTAGTTGACATTCCTTTTCTTAAAAAAGCATCAAATTGAACCCAACTTTTATATTACTACCATACTCTTTGCTGTTTAAATAAAAAGTAAAGGTTATGAATATATTGCAACAGTTCATAAATTACAAACAATGACAGAGGTACCTTCCTTGTACGAATTAGGAAAACTATGAGCAAAGACAGCATCCATTTTGCTTACTGGCATGCTCAGTAAATATTTGCTAAATCAATAAACTAGCTTTATGTGAAATATGCTAATATATTGAGGATAATAACTCACACTGAGATGTTAATTAATTCACTACTGTAGAGCCCTGACTATATTAAATGTTGCACAATTAAACCGAAGTGCATGAATTGCAGGATCACGCTCAGAATCAATAAAAGATAAAATATACAATTTTGCGTGTATTTGTATTTGCTCTCCTGCAGTCATTTTGTATACCACTCTGACTTTTATGGAATATTCACTATGAGAATTAAGTCTATAAAAAGATTCTTTGACATTAAGGAGATTCAGTGACATTTTCCTTTGAACAAATTCAATCACTTCTTGAGTGAGAGTACACCCTTAACACAGCTGTAATACCCAACTGTTACCAGACATCAGAATATGGAAAGTCTAAAACCAAACAATCCAGAAGCTCTCAATTTTTAAGCAAACTCAATAAAATAGTTATCTATTGAAACTGGCTTAGAAAAAAATAAAGACAGAAAATTGGTTGTTTTGATGCTAAAATGTTGAATTACTGTCATGTAAAATGGAGTTTTTCCCACCCACACTTTTTCATAAGTGAAACTGACATTATGCAAATTAATACCTAGCTTGTTATTTTTATTATTTGGCCATTAAGAGTCTGGTTTGCTTTCCTATTATTTTAGTCAAATAATGGATTACATGAGAATAAAAATAAATACTCCCAAGTAAAAAATCTGTGTGGAATAAAAATTCACATCCTGTTTCAAGCAATAAAAGTCAAAATTAATTTAAAGGGAATCTTAAGTAAAAGCCACAAACCTTCTGCAATCATGTCTTCCATCTCTGTATCAGATGAATTATCTGCATGCTTTGTGTTGTTCTGTAGCTCTGGCTGAACACACACAGAATTTATCACCTGATTATCCAAAAGAGGCCTTTTTTTCACGGGCTGTTCTATTAGCAAAGATGAACGACTCACCTTTGAAAGAGAGAAAACAAAATCAAATAATTTTTTTAAAGACTTTCAGAAATAAGTTGGTTAAAAACCTCTTGAAAAGAACAGTATCTATGATAATTTGTTCAATTGATCAGATACAGTCAATAAGTGTTTTATTATTTGAAAAAGGTCAGGTTATTTGAACATAAACACTTCATAGTTCAAGTAGTCAGCAATATGGATACTTCAAAGTCTATTGAACAGAACCTAGCATCCTAGTTTTAGGCAAGTAGTTAAGAAAAAGTCTTTTCTTTAAAAATCAGTAATAAATTTTTATTTGTCATTTTCTTTAATTTTTTTCCTGCAACAACTTTTAAGACTTATTTCTTACATGCAAAGCTTTTTATTTGTAGGGTTATCTCCTCAGAATAGATCATTATTATGTGGATTATATAGATAAGGGGGAAAATAGGCAGAGAACATGAAGAGATAATTCTCCAAAGAAGACATACAGATGGCCAACAGACAAATGAAGATGGTCAATATCACTAGTCATCAGGCAAATACAAATCAAAACCACCATGAGATACCACCTCACACCAGTCAGAATGGCTACCTTCAAAAAGTCAACAAATAACAAGTGTTGGTGAGGATGTGGAGAAAAGGGCACTTTCATGCACTGTTGGTGGGAGTGTAAACTGATGCAGCCACTATGAAAAAATAGTATGGAGATTCCTCAAAAATACTACAAACAGAACTACTATCTGACCCAGGAATTCCACTACTGGGTGTATAGCCAAAGAAATCCAAAACACTAACTCAAAACGAGAAATGCAGCCCTATGTTCACTGCAGCATCAATAGCCAAGGTTTGGAAGCAACCAAATGTCCATCCACAGACGAATAAAGTGGTACATACACAATGGAATATTTACTCAGCCATGAAAAGGAATAAAATCTTGCCATTTGTGACAACATGGATAGACCTAGAGGGTATTATGCTAAGTGAACTAAGTCCTACAGAGAGAGACAAAGTCAATATGAGTTCACTTACATGGAATCTAAATAAAGAGAACAAACAAAACAAAAAGACTCATAGAAACATCAAACTGACAGCTGTCAGAGGGGAGGGATGGGGGATGAGGGAAAAGGTAAAGGTGACAATAACTTTGAACAGTGACAGATAATTACTAGATAGACTTAGTGTAGCGATTATACTGTAAGGTATATAAATGTCAAGTCACTATATTGTACATCAACTATACTTAAATTTAAATAAGTAAATAAATAAATAAGATGAGACAACTACGTAATATTCAAACTGATTTGAAGTTTAGCTGATTTCTTTACAAAAGCGAAAACAGGGCTAGAACTCAAGTCTACTGATTCTTAGTTCAGCAACCAAATCCACTGTAATCAAGATAAGAAATGGAAAAATCTGCAAACGTTAACATTAAAATTAACAATAAAAATTCGCTGATGTTTAGTGTATTGGAAATCTGTACATTTAACTTTAGAGAATAATTATCCGTAAATTTTTAAACTGTGTCCACTTAAGTTAGCATATTTAATATGTCTCAAGTAAAATTTATAAAAGTTATTTCTATAAAAAAACTATAATATTCATTGCTCTTAAGGGTATACACTCTGGTACATTAATTAATTTAAATAATCTTTCTAATAAGTAAGTTAGTAATATATATTTAATTTTATGAAGACACATGTAATATGATTCAATACCTGTACTTCAAAGAAATTTATGCTAAAGAAAATTTTTAAAATGTGGATAATTTAAATACAAAGATACTTCTTTCAGGACTATTTCAATAGTGAAAAAAATGGAAACCTAACTGTCCAATAATAATGGAAGGATTACATATATTATGGTTGTAGATAAAGTAGAATATCATGTAACCTTTCAAAATGTTTCCAAAGTACTATTAATCATATGAGAAAATAAATGCTCAACATAGTATATCTTGAAAGTGAAAGGAGCAAAACTATATGTATAATAACAATCTTGATCATATAAAAATGTATATATAAACATACACATTATGGTATTAGTGAAGATTTTTCTGTATGTTTCCCAAATTTTTCTTTTTTTTGTAATCTTAAAAAATATTTTAACTGTCACTAGTAATAATTGATAATAATAACAACTATGCCTACTAAGTGCCAGGTACTACACAGAACAATTTATGTATATTTAATCCTTACAACAACCTTAACCCTAAAAGCCAAGTCTCATCTCCATTTGCCAGAAGAGCAAATGAAGATCAAAAAGACTGAGCGACTTCATAAAGGTAAGAGTCAGAATCGAAACACTGAGAAGTAGGGAGAAATGACTGGGCCTCCACTCACTACATTGGGTTTCTTATAAGAGATCCAAGTTTAATACAAACATGGTAAACTGAAAACAAAGCAACTGATTAGGCAACCAACTATCACAATGCATATCTTCCCTACCCATGAGTTTCAAAAATCAGATGATTCAAAGACCCTGAAAATAAACTATTGTTGTTGTTGTTGTTGTTGCTTTATTTTCGCCACTCCTATTTATTTTCTAAGGAAACTGTTCACCTATAGATAGTATCATATAAAATACACAGCTAGTCTCAAATTATAAGACTTTTAGTGATAGATACTTCCAGGTGAACATTTTAAAGCACTTTTAAAAATCTGACTGAAGGCTGAGATTTAAGAATAATGAGAATATTTCAGGGTGCGTACAGGAGGCAACCAACTGATATTTCTCTCTCACATCGATGTACTCCCTCCCCGTCACTTTCTCTCTCTCTTAAATAAACAAACATATCCTTGGGTGAGGACTTTTTAAAAACAGAATAATTAGAGTATCTATTTGCTAATTAAAAACCATCAACTTGGTAACTTGAGAAGGATTAGGTCATTGGGAAGTTATTTTCTATATCCAAGTTAAAGTTCACAAAGTATCACATGATACAAGAAATACAATTTAAAAAATACTTTGTCATTTCAGTTCCCTTAAAAAGAAAAAATAAGAAAGTTTATTTCATTGAAATAACCTTCCAATTACCTTTCTCTAAAAATTATAAACTGGGATCTTTACATACTCAAGTTTTCCTCCTTAGTTTATACATCTAAATATATAGTATAAAATTCTAGAAGTATATTTGGAATATATACTGATATATATAAAGAGATAAATTCTAGATAAAAGAGTGACAACTTTTTTGAAATAAAATTACAAGCTTTTTATTAGAGAATTACAGACTAAATGTTTAAAATGTTTAAAAAATGTTACATGAATTTTAAAAAATATATAAATTTCCTTGTTACTTACAGGAAATGGCTCCAATCCCTCCTGAATCACAAAGCCTTCGATGACATGTGTCAAGATCTGTGGTTTAACAATGGCCTGTGGAGGTTTGTTTTCTATACTGGGAATGCTACTGGGCACAGATGCACTATTACTCCTTGTGGTAGCAGCTGGAAGTAAAAGTGGAGGAGGAGGAACAGAAACATGTGAAGGATCTGAAGGCGATTTAATTACTGAAGCGCTGACTGATGCCACAGCAGGTAATTCCACTTGCTCTGAAAAAAAAATCATTTCTTAAATTTTAGCCCAGGCAAACATAAAAGAAAATTAAAAAATAATCATTAATAACCATAATAACAGTTACTATCTGGTGCTCAAAAAATCATTCTAAAAACTATATTTATTATTGCAAAATAACCTTATGAGATAAAAACTACTATTATCCCCACTTTACAGAAGAAGGGGGGTAATTTATTCAGTTATCATTCTAGTCATGGTTAAAAAGAACTGCCCCATAAACCATGAGTATGTTTTAGAATGTCAACCTAAGAATAATTACTGCCTTGGCCCATGTGGCTCAGTTGGTTGGGTGTCATCCTGCAAAGCAAAATGTTGCTATTCAATTCCCAGACAGGGTACACGCCTGGATTGCATGTTCAGTCCCCTGTCGGGGTGCATGCAAGAGGCAACCCATCAATGCTTTTCTTTCACAGTGATGCTTCTCTCTCCCATTGATGTTTCTCTCTTCTCTCACTTTTCTCCCTCCCTTCCTCTCTCTCTAAAAATAAATAAATAAATAATCTTTTTTAAAAAAAGAATACAAAAATGGTTGCTTTTTCAAAAATGTTAAGCTACATAGATATAAAATTCCCTATGTTACTGTTTATATATTCCAAGTGGTATGGTGGAATAAAAGTACTTCGAAAGTGTGCTTAAATAAAAAGGACCATAAACTACATAGAATAAATAATGTTTTCATGAACTACACAGGTCTAATCAAGCAGTAAGGCTAATCCAAATCCATGCACAAATGTTCTCTTTTTTTAAGCTCTTCAGCAGCACTGGATGGGTCAGTTTGGGGAACACTGCACTACTAGGCAACTGCAGAATGTTGGGCTGGATCACTGCGATTCCTCCCTTGCGAACTCTGGAAGACCACAGTAAGATAGCCCTGACAGCCTGTGATCACAGAGACTTTCCCTATTGATCCACTTGGTGGCACAAAACCTTTACTGCCTGTGTTAAGGTGGAAAGATGAAACCAGCTGACAGCTAAGAATATCAGTAAGTATGGATAGCTGAGGAAAATTTTAATGGAACAGATATTTATGAAAACTGAATCCTAGATGGAAACAAATCCCTCTATTTTGCAGGTTAGTTTATTTCATGATTTGATGAGAGTTATTCTAAATATCAACCCTGCCTGCTTTTCCCCTTCATATACAAAAACGAATAATAAGCATGAAGTAAATTATAGGAAGATCCAAAGTCTACATTGTACTTAGACAATTTTAGCCAGAGGGATAAGCTTGACAGGATCACAAACTACATTCCCTGCCTCATGTGTGAAAATATCCCTGTGTTCCAATACTTCAAATATTTTACAATTTCCTTTGAGTACCATTAGTAATACTCACTAGGAATTAAATTATAGTCATGATGCAAGGTTATTACCCAATTACTATAAACTTCTATTTCTGCCTTTAAGCCAAAATTCCAGAAAATCTGCAGCAACATAAATCCACTTTTAGTGTACCGAATATAAAAAGATTTCATACTATAGTTAAGATTTTCTTAAATCTGTCTTTTGAAGTATTGCTTTGAATATACAAAGGCAATAACATTAAACCGTCTTAAATATTTTATATAATTTTATTGACTAAGCATTTTCTATTTTGCAGGAGAGGGAAAAATTGGAAGAAAACTGGTTTCCCTATTCTATGCTTTCCAGAGTCACATCTGCAGCATGGAATGAAAGTTGGAGAGAATGGAAGGGTTAGAGATGTGGCATGTTGAAGAAAAGAAAGGGCAAAAGTCAGTGTCCCATTAAGGTTCACTTTCACACCTGTTAGAGTGGTTTTTCTTCCCTGCACTGATTACAAGGACCAAGATATAGTCAATAGGACAGAATACTTACAGCAAAGCCTGAACCAACATTGATATTACCGGAGTCAGGGGTAAACAAACCTTCTATAAAGGACAATATGAGCTTTGCAACTACTCATCTTTGCTGTGATAGCACAAAAGCAGCCACAGATAATAATTGAACAAATGAACGAGACTGCATTGCAGAGAACTTTATTAAAGGACAATGGAATTTATATTTCATATAATCTTCACATGGCATGAAATATTATTCTGCTTTTGATTTGTTTAAACCATTTAAAAACTTCAAAACTATCCTTAGCTTATGGACCACACAAAAACAGGAGGCAGAAAAGATTTAAAGCATAAGCATTTGCCAGCCCCTAACCTAAATATAATGTTCATAATTTTTTTTTTTTAAAACCTAACACAATGTATCTCTTTTAGGTCTAAGACACTGGGCTTACAGATCATACTGATGTTTTAGTAAAATATCTAGAGTTCATAGTCACTTTGATATTGTGAGGAGAATACAAAAGATTTAGTTCAACTTAAAAGTAGCTCGCAAGTATTGAATAAGAATTTCAATGCTTAAGCTCAAAATTTTTTTTAATCCATCTCTAGTAAGAATCAGTGAGACTTAATTTAAGTACTGTATGGGAGAAAACACTTTTAAAAGCATTTATTGGGTCTAGATTACAAGCAATTATAAGGAATGCCAGATATGACTTAGAATGCTTTGTGATTTGGGGAGAGTATAATTGAAATCTTTTGACAGAACTTTCACTTATTCCAATTTTTAAACTAGAAATAGCTTGACACATGAATCTGATCATATGAAACATATCTATTACAAACCAATAAAAATTAGGAAGCTACAATTTGTTTTTCATTTGGGTGGTTCCTCATCAATTGTTCTAATTGTTCCTCCTCAAAAAAGATCTTTAATTCTAATGTATGTTTTACTACAATCAGTTACACAACAAAATAGTCTATTACCATCTATAGCGAAGGTGGGGGACACTTTGCCATTACCAACATTTACTTAATAAAAAATTCCCCCCAACTGAGCTATTTCCTTACCTAACAAAGGATGTTCAGAAGTCAGATCTTCTCTCCCCACGGTGATAGCTGCCGGGGACAGTGTGGGTGGCGGTGGGGTCCTGTCCATCCGGACACATTCGTCTGACTCCTCTGGCATTTCTTCTTCACACACATCTTCTACTTGATACACCTGCAATGACAAACCACACCGTCTTAAAAGGTTGCTAAAAAATATATTTAATAAGGTGTTCTTAACTTCATTAAAAAAATAAATTCCAAGTGTTTTGAAATTTGAAACAAGGCAAAATGATTATTTTATAGTTTGAAAAGAAAACTTTGAAAATGAACTTTTACAAGTAATTGACAACATTTCACTATAAGCAAGTTGTAGATCAGTCTCTTTCTTACAAATGACTAAAGTTTCCAAGAAGGTGACAACCAAGTTAAGACATATTTTTAATTTTGAGAATTAAAAGAAATGTTTTGATTTTCTATACTCTATTTTGGGAATTTGCTATTACTTGTTAACTTCTAATTGTGATAAATCAAAGAAGATACTATTTTTCACAAGCATACTAGGTCTCTAAAATGACACATACTACATCAGGAAATGTACTTCCAAAAGGACTATACCCTAGGCTCTTTATTATATTTATGTGAAAGATTAAGTTATAAAAAGTTATCTGAGTACCTACAAAAAAGGTATGCATATAATTACATCTTTCTTTAATCTTCTGATCTACTCAATAATCTAATGGTTTTTTATAAGCAAATACCAGGTAAACAGAAAATATCTGTCCTTGAAATAACACACACACACACATACACACACCATCCTAACCCATTTGATACATTAATTTTAGTTAATAGTGGTTTATAATAAAGTTTTAAGTCTTTACCTTATCTTATTATTCAATAGTAAAGATTATACTTAAACATGGATTCAAAAGCACCCAGAGAAGGAATCATACAACAAAATATAACTTGTTATTAATTTTTCAATAACATTAAGACTGATTTTATTTTTTAAATTTTATTTATTTTTAGAGAGGAGAAGGGAGAGAGAAAGAGAGGGAGAGAAACATCAGTGTGTGGTTGCCTCTCACGCTCCCCCTACGGGGGACCTGGCCTGCAACCCAGACATGTGCCTGGACTGGGAATCGAACCAGTAACCCTTTGGTTCTCAGGCAAGCACTCAATCCACTAAGCCACACCAGCCAGAACTAAGACTGAATTTTCAAAATCTGCTTCTAAGGACTGACACAGGTATTTTAATTCATCGTCATTATTTATTTAACCATTGTTTTTTAAATATGATAGGTTTTTTAAAAAGCCATAAAGCAGTTCATCTCCCTTCTTTTATGTACAAAGCTTTTACTTAAATGTACATAGCTTGTGAGTTTTTAAGATTATTTACCTAAACTGATGAATATTTCTAATAAATGTTAAAACAAAAATCTTTCAACAAAAAACTTTGTTATTTGTAATATTGTATATATTTTTAATCAAATTATTGATAGAGTTTGATTTGAAGTACATAAAATTAGATACAAAAATGATCAAGATTTCTGGAAACAGAATAACCAGACTGTATCTAACCATGGTGATAGTTAAAAACAAACAAACAAACTTTCCAAGCCTCTATTAAGAAATCTTTTGCCTTGAACTTTTTAAAAAATCTTATTGTTACTGATAATTTTCTATCAAATATCCAGAAATGTGACCTAAATCAGCTAGTAAGTAGACAACATTTTAAAATATTTCCTCATAACTCTGCATCTGGAAACCTGTTTCACCAACAGATTTCTTGACTCATGTCTGGACCCTCAGAAGTGAAAGCAGTTGTTTGTTACTGTACAATAATATGCAATAATATAACCCCTAGTATCTGTACATAATTTTTTAAAAAATGAAGATAATATCCAATATAGGGAAAGTCATCCCCCCAAAAGTCCTGGGGTTAAAGGGGGGAACCCTTCTAGTGAGGGGCATTTGCTGTAGTGCTGATGTCTTGGGTTTGGTGGAGTGGTGGGAATACTGATTCAGAGGTCATTAGACAAGTATGGATCTACCCACCAGTTCGATTGTGTCTATGTGTAGCATTCCTTTCTTAGACTTTACCTTTTCTCCAAAAATCACTATCTTTTCTTAAAATGCTAAACTCTCTTTAATAGTAATGCTGGCACAAATTTCTCCAGCACCTACTACAGTACCTTTTAAGGAATCAAAGTTTGATCATGTATAGAACTCTGATTTTTTAAAAATGAGAGTTGTAAAAGATAAAGAGGCATACACAAATAGCATACTCTGAAATAATCCATCAAAGAGTACTGTAAAATACTTTTCATTCGTTACTGCATTCTTCTAAATTGTCCATGTAAATGTGAGATAAGTTCATGAATAAAAGAAGCAGACAAAAGCAGATCTGTCACAGACATCTGGCAGCATCAGCATAAAAAAAATCTAAAGGCAACAACTAAAATATTGAAAAAAGCAAAGAAGTGGAGGTTTTGCTGACAATTAGGAAACTGCACATCACAATTTCTGTTTAGCTCGTAACAACTACTCTAAAACTAGCAATGCCTGCCAAACTTACCTCAATAAAGTACATTAGTCCCATCTGTCTCCCTTTCCTAAATAAACCATGGAATATTGATTAATTCTAAATTATCTACTCTCACCACATCTTATCATACCCAAACATCAATGAATAACCTCAGTTTTACATCTTTTACAAACGTTATCTCTTTAAAAATATACTGATTTTACTTTGATAATTCCCATTTATCTTTCAAAATTCAAATTTCTTAAGAAATATATCCTTCCTCCTTTAAATATTTAAAACAACCAGGAAATTGTGAAGAAAGGGGTAATTTGTGAAGAAATGTTATTTAACAAAAAACATTTTGTCAAAGATAATAAAAGAAAAATAAAACAGTTTAATAAATAGGCTATGGTACTCAAAGAAAGGTATAAGAAAGATAACATGGAAATATCGACAGCAAGTATGACCAACCATACCATTGACAGCAGAGAAAGTTATCATTTTCACACACACGAAGTCCAAAAATGAAGTACAAATAAAAAAAAAACTTCTTTGAGAGAATAGAAAATAACAAATTAAGACCATAAATATTTTAGCTTTAATTTAAGTGCTTTGTTTTTGATATTTGTATCCCAAATTTGTTCCTGCAAAGTCTACCCTAATGAAAACAATTAGAAAAATATAAGGAATAAAGAGAAATTTTGTTTTTTAACTTGTTAAAAACCAATAGACTGAACTAGAAAGAAATAATTTAAATTTGATTTCTTTGAAGGGACTGCACACTTCAAAGCCTGTGTTTTTGTTACACTATCTATTGTAAACTCTCCAAAACTCCATTGAAAGAAAACAGAGACATAATTAAATGACAAACTTATTTCCAGATGCTCGTTGCTTTTGTTAAGTTCTGTCTTTAATAAAAGTGAATAGGAAATGGAATTCAATCTCTCTATGCCTATTACTGTCAATTTTAACGACAAGAATAAAGAACCTATAAATTTGCATCCTAAGGACCAAAATGTTTCCCATTAAAAAGAGACTCTGAAACTTCTTTCCTCTGTGAGCAAATGGTTACTGGTCTTTAAGTGATAAAATCCCTTCACTGAGGTCTTTATATAAAGATATAAACCTCCTTTTGAGAAGACTGTTTCCTTCAGTTATAAATTATGAATTTGATTATTCTGCCTAAAAGTTTTGAGATCTTATTCAATTTTTACTGTAAATTATTAAATAAATTTAAAAAGCCCTTTAGAGAATGTTACACCTAGAGAAGGAAAAACATTTTTCAAGACAATTTCCCTTTCTAGGCAACATGTACCATCTTTAGAGATTTATTGTGATAAATTTCACCATAATCTAATTTATTCAAAACTTTTACTCTTCCCACTGGATTTTTTTATCCTCAGTATTCAGTTCATCAACTGAGATGTTTTAAACTTTTTAAGTGAGAAATATTCTAAGTTTATATTTTCCCTTAGTAGAAATTTAAAATTCAGAAGTTTAATAATTGTAGAAGATGGTCTACAATTAGTTTTTTGCAAAGTTGAATTCTTTCCTACAATAAATGTTTTTACAATTTTAATTATAGAAGATAATTTTACCAAAAAATGTAACATACAAGCATACCCTTGAAACAAAAGCTCCTAGAGGCCCAGGACTTCAGAATGCATACGACCAAAAAGGTTAGCTAGATAAACGATACGTTTAAGAACATACAAGCCAACAGAAGGGATCTATGAAGGATAATCACCTTAAGAGAAAAAACTTTGTGCAGATGACACTGGTTCAAATGCATTCCCTTGGGGAAAAAAAATCAACTCTGTAAAGATAGCAGATGGATTTGTTTAAATAGTAATAAAATTAACGAGGGACTTTAATAACCATCACAAATTACCAAGCATGCAACCGTACTACAACAAATGGCAATTTTTTTTGCCCATACAGCATGTTTGTCAGACACCGAGAGATGGAAATTTCAGGCTTTTTAAATTCACAGGCATGTAGCTCTAGTGATATAACATAATGTAGGAGAAAAGTTTTTACTTTCATTTCAGCAAGAAAGTCAAAGAGCTTCCAAGGGCTTACCACTGGTGGATCAACAGGTGCTGGTGGTTGTACTTGTAGGTTTACCGCTACAGTCTGTGGAGGAGGAAGAGTCTGAAACGGCAACTGGACCAAAGCTTCTGCAGCTGGAAGCTCCTCTTCTGACACCAAAGCATTCTGTACCAAAACCTGGCCCTGGGATAGAATTTCAGGCTGCACTTGTAAAGATTGCATAGACTGCAAGGGCAGTGGTGGAATCTGAGCTGGAGGAGATGTCGACATTTGTGGAGGGGTTGCAATTGGGATTGGAGAGGACTGCAGGGCTGAATATTGCTGGTGTGATGCTGGAGACACAATCTGCTGACCTGGGGACACCAAGGCCGACTGCTGAACTGGGCCAATGTGTACAACAGGGGAAGCTGAAAGTGGAAGATGGGATGGAAGATTCAGCGGGGCTGTCGGCTGCACCTGATTAGCAGTGGACTGCTGCAAGTTTGGCCCTGGCTGGAGAGCTGATGACACAAGAGGGTGTGGCTGAATAAGTGCTTGTGGATGAATAATTATAGTAGGAGACTGACTTGGTGAATGAGGTGGTGGAGGAGATACCACCACAGACTGCTGTGCTGACTGTGACTGGCTAGGAGACATTGTTAAGGGAGGAGGATGACTCTGAATTGGTGAACAATGCTGTGACTGGGCATTGCTGGGAGCTGGAGGAAGGCCATGGTTTTGGAGTGGTAGACAGTGCTGGGATGGGGGCGGATCTTGAGTTGGATTTTGGAGTGTGATTGGCTGAATTTGCTGTTGCTGCTGTTGTAGTATCAGCTGATGATGGGAAACCTTGGGAGGTGATGAATGAAGAGGAATCTGCTGATGTTTTATTAGAGGATGAGGCTGAATTGGAGGATATGAAGCTGTGAGAGAAAAAAATAAGAATTAGTATTTATTTAAAAAATATCATAGAAATTTTAAAATAAATTTAAAGGAGGAAAGTTTTTATATCAGGAGGTCATAATCATCAGAAATCCATTAAAAAGTCTTCCAGACAAGAGTGACTTAAAAATGCAATAGCTAACATCCCTTCCTTGGAAAACTATAAATTTCATAAAATAAGCTGTACTGTGATAAATTCCAAAAGAAAACTGCCTAAAGCAAATAATTTATAAATCTGAATCTATACATGATTTATTCTTATTAAATTTTATAGGTCCCCAGAATATCTATTAACTTTCAAGAAAGTTTATCCACTTGAATTCCTTCTTTGAGGAAAAGAGGAATATCACTGAACAAGTATAATACAGTATATATAAAGAAAACTTTAAAACCGTAACAATGCAATGTTAGAATCCATAAAATAACAGTCTCATCCTTTCTAATTTATGTCTAAATATTTTTCCAACTAATCATCAATGTAATTACTTATAAAGCTTCCCAAATAAGTTACCAAATTGAGCCAAGATGAAGAGTTGGTATTATTTAACCCAGGAGGAGAAAACGTATTTGTATAAAAAGTTAATTCAATTAAGCAAAAGAGATGTGTGTAACTCCTAGAGCATGGTCAAATAACCTCTGTAACTAAGAAATGAAATTTCAGCAGCCCTTCCAAATCTAGGAGAGCACTAGTTCTGCTTAAAGAGAGTAAGGCAATCAGAAATTCATGTACCTAAATAAAGGATCTTACTTTACTTCCTTCCCCCTAAAAAAAAAAGCAAATAAACAAAAAAAAAATCTACAGTAATCTGTAAGTGATAGTACCTGTTTTCTCCAGAGGAGCCACTCACGACAGGGATAACACATATAAAGAACTAGCAAAATCAAGGATCCCCATCAGTACACCTCTTTTGCATACTGGTGTTTATGTTTACACAGAGGGAGATGCTGGTGAAATCCTATCTAAATAAGAATGGAAACTGGGTTCACTTTATATAAATGTATAATCAGTATGTTGTATACCTGAAACTAATATAATATTGTATGTTAACTGTAATTAAAAATAAATGTAAAAAAGAAACAGGGTTTACTAGAAGATAAACTGAAAAGATTTAATATTAATATCATGTAGAAATTATATACATTTAAAACAGACTTAAAGACAGGGCAAAAAAATTTTTTTAATTTCAGAATTTTAGGATAAAGACCATAAACTTGTCTTGCATCTATTTTTATATTCAACCACATTTGTGACAAAGGCCTTATAAAAACTTCTAACAACTTTTTAAACACTTGGTTAGTTGGTATTTAAAATTTGGGAGATACTTTAAGGAAATTAACTCTGATTAACATCTCATAAAAGAGGTGTTTAGAAAGTTCAACAAACTTTTTTTCATAGACTAGGTCTAAAATTTCATCTAACAAAATAATTTTCACATAATGAGGCTAGCACTTCAAACTAAAACTGAAAATTTATGTCAGCACTTTATAAATGTGTTGACAAAGACTCTACACAGAGTATTTAATAAAATCTAGGATTTCTATAGAGTGCCTTTCCTCCAAGGGGCTCAAGGTACTTTCACATGGCCCATTGTACTAAAAGAATGTCTATAAAGTAGACAGGTATTATTATTCCACTTTTACAGATAAAGAAATAGACTGTTCACAAGCAAAGGCCCATTTTAATTCAACTTTTAAGTTATAATTAAAATTCAGCATATTCTTTAAGTACAATGAATATTATATTTACAGGAATAAAAATTCTGTGCTCTAGAAGTAAGCAATCTTTAATATTCTGGAGTTGATAATTCAACAGATTAATAGTCTATCCTTTCACCTAGATTAAATTCTTTGATCAGAAATCAAAGTGAGTGTATTACTCCATAAGTCCAACCAATAAGCACATCTACTGCAGAATAATTATGAAGCTATCTGAAACAATACTTCTGTAGGAGAAAAGCCCTAGTGTTCCTGAATCATATGCTTTTTGTCTGATCCTAATAAATACTTTATTACTGTCAGGGTGGCATTATAGCTGGAGAATTAATGATTGGCATCATCTTACTTAATGCAGGAGAACTCTTTAATTACTATAAATAATATATTACTATAAATTACTAAATATATTACCTCATTCAATAGTTACAACAACCCCATGAGGTAGATAGACAAGGTACCACACTAACCCAATACATTACAGGTGAAGAAACTCTCAGCATTAACTGACTTGCCTGAAATCACAAGAACCCATAGTCCTAACTGAGTCTTAGTTCCTATTATGGACTGAATGTGTCCAACAAATTTCGTATGTTGAAGCCCTAAGCCCTAGTGTGACGATTTGGTGACAGGGCCTCTAAGGAAGTAATTAAGGTTAAATGAGGTCAGAAAAGTGGAACTCTGACCTAAGAGAATTAATGCCCTTGTAAGAAGAGACCCCAGAGAGCTTGCTATCCTCTCTCCTAGCCCTCAGGTGAAAGGCCATGTGAGGACACAGCTAAGAAGGCAGCCATCTGCAAGCCAGGAAGAGAGCTCTCACCAAAAACTAAACACTGCTAGATCTTGATCTTGGGCTTTCCAGCCTCCAGAACTATTGTTTAAACCACCCGGTCTATGGTATTTTTTTATGGCTGTTGGAGCAGACTAATACAGGCTTTTCATTACATACTGAATTAATGTCTGCCAAAAAAAGTCCAAATGTAATTTCAACTCCTTATCAGTTAAAAAGTAGTTACATGTATACAGTCTTAAAATTACTTCGGCCCTTTGAAGGTAACCTCGAGGCTGATGTGGCCCCCAATGAAAATGAGTTTGACACTCCTGTCTTAGGATGTTCCATTTGACCTTGTGTCTCATAGACAACACTGCAGAATGCTAGAGTTTGGTGCTTCACATAGCATCTGAATTTTGAATTGCAATTTTCCTGCAACTCTGATAGTTTTAGCCTACAAAAAATACTGGCCATCAGAGGAAGACAACTAAAGACATTATCACACTATCAATGCAAAGGGGAAGAATAAGTGTCAACTTAGAATGAGGTATTGGGAGTTTGGGGAGAGTGAAAATCTGAAAGTCGATCTCCTTGCTTGAACTAACCCTGAAAGAGGTCCTAGGTTTCTCTGAAGGTAGCATTCTCTTTGGAAGAAAATTAACTTACCCTTTATTATAATCTATCAAAACTATAAGAATCACTAAAAATTATCCCAAGCAGTCATTCCAAGCACAATGGGTCACTGCTGCTTCTCACTAAATCCTATCAACACTAGCGAGAGGCTAGTTTGAGGCTCAGAATACTATGGACAATTCAGCATAAAAATCCTGTTATCAAGCCGTACAGACAGCAGAACCTGGCACATATTTATAAAAAAGAATTCACATCTAACTGTACTATAAATAAATTTATTAATTATGCATTATAACAAAGACCATACTTATCTAGGATTCAGATTTAAGAATTATAAGCAGTAATGCCCGATTAATGCAAATAGAAAAAACTGTGCTATAAGTTCCGAAATTCAATTGGGGAAAAAAAATCAACTGTTAATCCAACAAATATTCCTGTGCCCCTACTGCAAATAAGTACAATAAGGCATAACTTAGTACTGTCAAGATCAAAGGATGAAAAGGGGAATCTGAAAAAAGGATTAAAAGAGTTAATGAATGTAAAGTGCATGACACACAAGTGCTCCATATTATCCTACCCTTGAAGAGCTCACCCTCCAGTAGAAAAGCTAAGATCAGTAATATATAAATAACTATAAACAAAAAATTGCCATAAAGGAACACAAAAATGCTATACAAGTTCAGAGTAATGACAGATTTCTAACTAGGGAAATCAAACAATTCCAACATTTTGAGATTGGGTGATTTAGAGAATATTGGCAATATTAGCACAGAGAAAATATAAAAAGAGAAATAGGCTTAAGTGGAGAAAATGCAGACTTAAGTAGTATAAAATGATTCTTTAAAAAGTAATGCAGAGTTATAAAAGATTAGAAAGAAGATGCCTACCTGATAAGGTCACATGAAAGGTTTTGGTGTTTTTTTTTTTTAATGACACATGTGAGGTGTCTAGACACACACACACTTGGAACAAACAGCAGTTATACTGGTATAAAAACATGTGCATATAGGTTAAGATTAGGGGAGATCTAGGTACGCTGGAGAAGCGAAGGGAAAAATCCAGCATGAAGGAGACAAAAGATACAGTAACTATGAAGGAAGATCAGGAGCCAGTAAAAATGATGTGATCAATGACACAAGCAAATAATGCTAACTTTAAGGACAGCAGGTAATTCCTTACTTTATGAAGAAGTAAAGAAAGCTCAACAATGACAAATTCTGAGATGAAGAGGAGAGATGGGAAGGAAACTCACTCCAGGTGGCTCCAACATTTTCAGCATGAGAACTGTGACTCAAGGTTATCTGTGGACAGCAGAAGTGCAGGTGGGATTCAAAGGCTGATGAGAATGAAAATGACTTAGTTGATTCCCTGACACCTTCCTCTTGGAGATGAAATCCGAGACCAAAAAAAGCAACATGGTAAGGTAAATAATTGTGCATAATCCTTATTTTTGGAAAGTGATAAATCCCTCCCACTAATGACAATCTTAAACAACAAAAAAAACCTTGCTCTCTAAAAGGCTTTTGATTTTGTTCCATTAAAGCATACCAAATGAACTGAAGACAAATCTTGCTTCTAAGCTAAAAGGTCTATTGCTATAATGAGAGAGCAGCACATAATGAAGATGTTAGTTAAAAGTCAACTGAGAAAATAAATCTGTTTTATTGTTATAAATTGTTGAGATATTGAGATATTCTTTTTTAACTGATGAAACCCACATTTTAAAATGCTTTAAAAGTGTCATTCTTATTCAAGCAATGGACATCTTTTGTTTTGCTCTGCCTGCTAAGAAGATGAAAACTGTAATTACTTTCAACAAAAGTCTTATCCCACCTGGTGCTATTAACTGGTGAATACTTGATGTCCGGGTGACAGCGGTGCTTCTTGACTCCAGACTTGGGCTTTCTCCTTTCCTATTATTTTCCGGAGAGGGGTCTCGCTGGCTGATTTTAGAACTGGTCACTGTTGTTTTGTTATGACAAATTGTCAATGACTGAGTTTGACTAGTGCTTTTTGGAGGACCATTCTGTGAGCTAGACAGCACACCCAACTTCTGGCTGCGTAATGTTAAATTCTGAACCTAAAAACCACATAACAAAAAAGATGGAGGAAACAGATGGTATTAATTGACACAGTAATCATCAACCTTATAACAACAATGACACCACATTTCTATTATGCTTTTCATACATAAAGTTCCAAGGTCTTGAAGCAACTGATACATCTTGAAAGGGAGTTATTACTCTAAGCAATCGAATCTTAAATATTAAGTGACATTTTAAGAAAAAACATTAAGAAAAAGAATCATTAAAAACTAAATGAAAATGTAATACATATATGAACAATGAACTATGAGTAAATTACTCTGCAATAAACTCATTTTAAAATTATTACCAGCTTGGAGACAGCCAAAGAGAAGGAGAAAGAGGAAGGTCGTTCCAGGTAAAGGGGAAAACTTGAGGAAAGTTGCAGAGGTGGGGGAGCCCAAGGTGTGTAAGGACGAAAGAGCAATTCCTTCAACCTCAGTCTGACTGCTCCATGCCAGGATTGCGAAACATTTTAAGGTTACAAGTATCTCATGAACTTACATAATTAGGAGAATGTGGATATAATATTGCTGTCTTAATAAAGATAAGAAAGAGATAACAAAAAAGTTACCAGCTCTATAGAGATAAGAGAACACTAATCTAATAAGAAAACTAATTCATCAAACCACCTATCCCACCATGATAATTATGAAAATCATTCCCCATGAACTCCTTTTAAAAGATAACTTGGATTTTTGTTGTTGTTCTATGGAACACTCACCTGCTTTTGAGAACCTGACCTCATGATCTGAAAAGACTGTGCATGGCCTTGCAGTGGTTTCTGTGTGGCTCCTGTCTATACCTGGCACTATTCTAAACATACTGCCGGTCTGGACGGTGGCAAGGATCATCCCAGTTACAACCACAGGAGGTTTGTAACATTCCCAAACAGCCAGGCAGAACACACCTCTCCAATAGCTGCCAAAGTTTTTGACCATCTGGCATAAATGCACCAAATCCACTTATGCCAGCACTAGCCCTGGAAGGGACACTGAAATGAAAGAGATTCTAAGCTGACAAAGCAAAGGATATACTGCTGCTTTATGAATGTTCTTTGGTTTTGTGTGTTCTGTCTCTACAACTATATCACTAATTGATGCCCAAAGGCTACACTCTCTTTTACCAGGTGCCAAATGGGGTGTTCAGCCAATAGCAGGTGCTAAACAAATGTTTACCTCAGGAAGTGGACATTTTCCTCAGTTCTATTCTAAGCTATTGAAAGAATCTTCTAAGTCAGACCATATTCCTATGATCTGATTTTTGTCAAATATTTCATAGTAATGTAAGTGGAGTAAAAACTATTGTATTATTGAAATTAATGCAAAAATAAAATATGCTAAAATCCAGGCTTCTCAGCTTGCCACTCAAAGCCCTTCAAAGTCAAGGCCCAAACCACTTCAAGCCCCAAGTTTCCACTAGTGTAGTCCACAATACTCATAATTCTAGCCAAACTGTTTTACTCACCCGTTTCCAAACTACCTTATGCTTCCTTCAATAAAACCCTTGCTCAAGCTCCTCTTGCTCAAATGCCATTCTTCCTGAATGCTCCTTCAAGGCCCAGTAAAAATCCCACTCACTCTCCCAAAGACCCTAGTTAGAAATAATTTCCCCTCCCCTGTCTAATGCTTTCCCATAGAATATGGATCATACTGGCCTGTAGCACTGACTAATGTCTAGCTTATTTTATGATTACTCATGTCTGTGTGAAATACTGAGACTCTGGCTAGCAGGCTCTCATCTCTGACATTCACTTTTGTGCTCCCCACCGCTCTGTGCTGCAGACATAACAGAAACTCCACAGTCTGAGGTATTCTCCTGTATCTGATTCTCAAATATGTATTACCTGGCTATGTTTCTGTATTTAGTTCTATTTATGGTTTTCTTAGGCTAACAGTAAAACCTGTTCATAGTCTACCAAAAAATCTCAACAAATATGTAGTGGGGACATATTAAAATCTTAAAAACTTGAAAATCTGAAAACTTTCCTTCATATGAAAAGCACATATATTCAAATATGCTTTTGAATATATATTCAAAAGTGTAAATGAAGATTTGACACAATGAATCCTAAAACGTGTAGCAGTCCATTTCTATAGAATCACATACTCCTTTAATTTTCCTTCTGCTTTCTGGAATTCTGGAAGAAACTATATGTGTGTACATATATTCATATATTATTTATATGAGTAGATAAATTTTAGACTATGGCTATAATATCTTTGGTCATCTTCATTTAAATATTTACAATAAATTTCAAACATATAAACTATACTTCTAAAGTATATTACAAAGTTAATTTAGCTATTAATAGGAAGATTACATTTTCAGCTTTCCTAGATAGAGCTTCACTTTTGAAGAGAACACACCCTTTCTCAAAAGAATATTAGGGCACAGTGACATCCAACTTTCATTTCATCTAAACCTTTCCTATGATCAAATTATGAAAACTTTCTGACTTTTGAAAAAGTCTAAATGTCACCTGAAGCCTTTAGCTAATTTCACACTTTACAGTGGATTACCCAAATACTCTCATACCAATTTCTCAATTTGAATTTAAGAAATACTGTGTGAATCTCTTTGTTGCATATGAGGAAAGTAGGAGATGAAGTCACATTGCTGGCAGTAGAGCTGAGTTTCTAGGTTTTAAATCCCAAGGGCTGTTTTCCTCTCGGTTATCACAGCATTTTCTAGTAAGTAAGTAAATAAGAAAGATTTCTTCCTTTTCCATAAGTATACTCTTAGTCCTATCATATCTTTCTGAAAATGAGATTTTTCTAAATTAAAAAAATATATTTTACATGGTATAGGGAAGGGATGGAGCATTTTAAGTAGTATATAAGGGTAAAATATTCCAAATTTCTCATTTTTTCAGTGTGCTATAAATAAATTTTAATGCTAAAAAAATTATTGTTATACTGACTTCTATCACTCAAAGAGTATTAAACTTGAAATTTGGTATTTCTCAATTACACTTTTAAAAACTAAAAATATAAGCTTTAAAATTAACAGTAGAGCATAAATTTTTCAAAAGTAACAGCCCTAAACCTGAGGAAAGTTATCACTGGTATATTCAAAGTATTAGCATCACTTCCCACTGTCAGCTTCATAAACTGCATTTCGAAAGCATAGCAGAGAAAAACATTTGTAGAGAAATTCCTGAAGGTTCCTGAAAATCTATCCTTGAATTAAGTCATATTATCACTGAACCATGTGCCCGCATCACATTAAACGGAAGCCACTTTCATAAACTACTTTACTGTGCTCATTATACTATTAAATGGACTGTAAGATGTTTTCTCCGTAAAAACCCACAAGACAAATTGTGCTCAAAAAAGCATGTTCGTTGTATTTTCCTAACTCACTTACTTTACCCTGGAAACTGTAAACCCTTTAAATGATTGTTTCTCTCTTCACTATTAGCTCCTTCAAAGCTAAGAACCAAATTTGTGACTCATCTTTAGACAATATACAGGGTTCAGCACAAACACTGCCCTTTTCCATTACAAAATCTTTTATTACACAGTCTTAAGTATGTAATTCTGTAATCCATCCCACATAAACACAGTATCATACTCAAGCACACCATATGACATTTTAGGTGGAATGTTCACATTGCTGTCCATCTCGTGCAAGACATGCACGTACCCTACAGACCACACACAAACAGGCGTTACTTCTGTCGGACCCAGTATAACAAAAGCAGTAATTAGTAATCTGATACTAAGTATGCTAGGCAGTATGCTAAGTACTTTATGATCATTGTTTCCTTTATTCCTTATAACAACTCTGAGCTATCACTTCTAGTTTACAGAGAAGAAACTGAGGTTTAACAACGGTAATAATAAAAGCTAACATTTAATATGAGTGCTAACTATGTATCAGACATTGTTCTGTTTTTCACTTATTAACATATTTAATCCTCACTACAACTCTATGAAATCAACATTTGAATTATTTTATAAATATTTATTTTATTTTATATTGTTGACATGGAGGCAAGAGATTAAGGGTATCCAATGAGAAAGTGGTAGGATATGTATTTGAACCCAGAGAGTCTGGATTCAGAGTCCAAACTCATAAACATTAAGTTTTACTATGACCTTATTCAAAATCAATCAACTGGCAAATGACAAGGCTGGCAACTGTTGCTTAAGTCAGAATGTGGACCCAAGTCTTTCCATCCCCTCTTGCAAAAAAAGTACTAATGAGTGCCTATAATGTTCTAGACACTAAACATACATATTACTCAGTCTTCAACACACCCTGAAAGTATGTATGACTATTAGAGAGTTTTGGTAACTTGCCTGAAGCCATAAAACTAGTAAATAATGGAGGTGGGAGTTGAACTGAAGTCCATGCAGGATTTCAAGCACATAACCTGAATAGCAATCTCACTCCTAGCTCCATGCCACTTTCCTTTATTTGTGCTTTTTAAACCTTAAAGTTAACAAAGACAAAGGTCTCATTTTATAAATATGAAAATTAAAGTTCAACAAAGCTCAGGAATTGTGCAGGGTCACAGAGCACATGAGGAAAAACTTTAATTGATCAACATATTTATATGCTAATATATTAAATTGTCCTTTATTATTAAACAAAATATGTAAAGAGGGTCAAATATTATTATCATCAAATTTTTTGCTTTTTACCAGAAGACTAAGACTATTAAATTAAAAATAAGAAGCCAAGGATGATCCTACAATATACCAATTTCTATGGAAAAATATCTAAATGATATCATACAATTAAGTAGTCAAACAATTAAGTAGCATATTCTACTTAATTGTTTTAAATTAAAATTTACTAATTCATTTTTACCAACCTTACTAAGGTATAACTTACATAGAGTAAAATGAATGAACTGGTTCAATGAGTCTTGACATCTGTATACAACATGTTACCACCACTCCGGTCAAGATACAGAACACCACCATCACCCAGAAAGCTCACTCATGCCCCTTCCCAGTCACTCTGCTCCACCTTCTGCCCCAGGTACCACCAATCTGATTTTCTTCACTATGGACTAGTTTTACCTGTTCTGGACTTTCATTTCATATAAATGGAATCAGAGTATGTACTCTCTGGTGTCTGGCTTCTTTTGCTAATTACAATGTTCCTGAGATGCATCAGTAGTTTTTTTTTTCCTGAGTAATATCTCACAATTTATTTATCTATTCACTAGTTAAAGAACACTGAGTTTCCAGTTTGGGGCTATTCTGAATAAACTTGCTATAAATATTTACATACATATCTTTGTGTGGATACATATTTTCAGATCTCTCACAGTAAACATCTAGAAGTGGAACTGCTGGGTTACATGTTAAACGTATGTGTAACTTTGTAAGGAACTGACAAGCTGTTTTACAAAGTGGTCCTACCAATTTCACCCTCACCAGCAATGTATGAGAATATGGCTGCTCCCCATTCTCACCAGTCTCCTTCATTTCAGCCATTCTACTGGGTATGTAGTGATATCCACTGTGGTTTGATCTGCATTTCTATAATGATTAATGGTGTTGAGCACTTTTTCATGTGCTTATTGGCCTTTTGCATATTTTCTTTTATGAAGTGTTCACATCTTTTCCCCATGATACTATTATTTATTGAGTTGTAAGCATACTTTGCATATTCTGAGTAAAAGTCCTTTGTCAGATATTCATATTGTGAACACTTTCCCTTAGTCTGTGGCTTCCCTCTTCATTTTTCTAACAATGTCTTTTGAAAAACAGTTTTCAATTTTCATGAAGTCCAATTCAATTTCTTTTATAATTAATGCTTTTTGTGACCTAAGAAAGTTTTGTCTACCCTAGAGTTGTAAGGATATTCCCTAAGTTTTCTTCTGTGCATTTTGTAGTTTTAGCTGTTAAGTCAAAATTCTATTTTATTTTTGTGAATAATGTAAGGAGAAAGTTACAGTTCACTCTTCTATAATACCAAAAAAAGTAATATCCTACTCAACTTTTTAAATTTAAAATTCACCCAATTTATTTTTAATCTTAAAATCCATCTTGATTTAGTTATTACATAACTGCTTGCAAGGGAATCTATACAAAAGAATATATCTCACAAATAAGAAATAAATCTGCTTTACAATAAAACACACTGTCATAGCAAAAACTCATTTTCGCTATTGTCAAATAACCTAAATATCCGTGTTTAATGGTATTATAATTTCTGTAGAAGAAAACTTTCTTGAAGTTCTTATCACACTTTATTAAATTTCAATCTGAAATGTATGACTGAAAGAGCACTGAAACCATCAGTAATTTAAACACAAATACATGTCTATCTTTAAGCTGAAGATCTGGACCTCGTTCCACATTACGAAGCTAGACAAGCTCACCTGAGTAGCTGCAGACTGACAGGAAGATGATGACGACGAGACAACAGGAATGTCAGACTGTACAGCAGCCACAGTGGTAGCGGGTGTGAAAATCAGCTGTACAGACAGAAAAACCAAAAAAAAAATACCCTAAGACAAAAGAACATGTCTCACACACAATGTATAGCAGGCAAGGGAGACCGAAATTTGTGACAGAAAGACAATGCAGTTTAGGACTGCCTCCTAAGCAAAAGGGTTTTACATGACACAGAGAAATTTCTGGTAATAGAGAACTTAAAAAAATCATAAACATTTTTGAAACAGTGCATGATTCTGATGAGTAGAAAAATAAATCAGTGCACGAAAAAGAATACGTGTTTAGGTAATATGAAATCCTCATACCAAATTTTGCTCCAAATAAGCTATTATACTTAAAATTTTCCCAATTCAAAACTCCTGAGGCAGGATTCCTAAAATGTAAGTTACAAGAGACAACCATAGTCCCTACTCCTGAACACAAATTAAAGTGAAAAACACGAGAAGAAACCCCCAAAAGCCTTTCCATTCTTCTTCACCACAGAAGGTAACTATGTGATATACTACATTATTTCTTTCACTCAGCTACGTAGGATCTACAGAGCAAACCTAGGTTGCTCTTGATTTTAAAACCATCTGCAAAGAAAAGTTCATTCTAAATGTAAATGCCAAAACATGTCAAAATTCAACAACAAAACAGTCTGCAGAAAAAGGTTCACATCAAACATTAATAATAATAAAGGAAGGAAAGACATACTTGATTTATTTACTATTAACCACCATCTCTTTTCAGCTGCTTTTCTCAATATTGAAAGAGAATGCCATTAACTTAAAAAGGTAATACAATCCACTCAGAAATTATCCGATCCAACTTAGTAAATTATGACAGTTGTTTCCAAGAATGTGTAAATAGTCTACTTCGAAACTGCATTGAGTTATTTAGTTCCTCAAAACCATTCCTGGTTAAATTTAAATTACTGATTAAGGGGATCTTTTAAACTTCAGTTCTTTATAGTATATTAAATTCAAGTAAGTTACACAACAAACTATAACTTTCATGAGAAGTTAATTTCCAGTACAAACAGCTGAAAGCACTAAACCTATAAAGAAGATACTCTATTTAGCTTGAACCATATGAAACTTCTAAAGAGTCAAAAATAGTCAAATTAGAACCATTTCGAGTGAGTCAACCTAATTTTGAAGCATGTTATTAATTAAATACGAGCTCATGGTGGGGAAAAAAACAAACATAGCAATGTCTACTGAATAATCTGTAATAAAAAAGTGGGTCATGTCATTGCTTCCTGTTAGAAATAAAATGGGAAACTTTCTTTGCAATTTGAGTGGGGACCTAGGGATCCATATATATATTCAATTCGTTGAACAAAGAAAGCAACTAAATAAATACATGATAGGGCCAAATTTTTTGTCTAACTCCCTGTAATGATATCAAATAAAGGGAATGTCAATCAATTTCTACATTCCTTAAAGAAGCTCAAAGTTAAATTAGGAAATCAGTAGGTACTCAAATACAGAATAGCCAAATTAACATTCCTATATTAATAAAAGGTCAAAGTGAGCTTAAGTACACAAATCACTTTGCAAAATTTGAGATGAGAATAACCAAAGCTAAGAATCATCTGGTAAATTAGCAGAAACTCCAACCCAAGTTTCAGAAGATCTCAAAATATAAATTCTAACTTAGAGTTAACAACCAAGTTTTTAACATTTCTAACTACTTCATCAAATCTAAGATGTCAAAGATACACAGTGATTTTATGTATCACTAATAAGTACCAATTATAACTGTAAGATGCCATCAGTTATAAAATGCATCTCAGTTTCAGATGTTAAAATGTGAAAAAAGATCTGAAATCACTGAAATTTGATATTAAAAAATAATCACTCCTATGTTCAATATGAAAATTAAAAAAATAATAATAATCACTCCTATGTTACACATATGTCAGCTTCCCAATGTTGCTGATTATTTTTTGATATACCAAGAAGGCCTACCTTATTAAAAGAATTTTTCAAGACATAAATGTACAAGAGCTAAGCACATGCACATAAAAAAATTGTTAAACATCTCTTAAATATAAAAATGTCTCTTATTGCATCAAATCAAGAAACATTTTGATCTCTCTCAAGTCCTTAATCACTAAAGAAATTTGGTAGCTCACATCTTACCATTTGAGCTCGGAGATACATTTGAGCTTGGCTTGCAGTTAGGGTAGGGGAGGTACTCCCTAGCAACATAGTCTGTTGGGTAATACTGCCGCTGGTAGAACTGGAAGCCTGGGAACGGCTTATTAACTGTGCAGGTGTAGGAGAAGTGGAGAGGTTGATCTAAGGAAGAAAACATATTAGGTCATAGCCTTCCATGTCACTGATTTTCACCAAGCTGTAGTCAGGCAAACAACAGTATATACAGTGGCTAAGGAACCTAAAAAAGAGGACTTCAACTTTGACAGACGCCCCTCACTTCTTTGGACAATTATTTGCATATATGCAAACAACAGCCTTTACTGGTTAGTAATCAAAACAATTTTGAAGGATATCCTCACTGTGTTTCAAAAAGATTCCAGTATCTTAAAATAACATTTTCACTACCTTCCAAAAAGTAGGGCCAATGTTCCATTATTTTAATATTCCACATAATAACTTAAAACATTCAAATCAACAGTTTACACTATTTTGTCAGATACTGTCACATTCTGGGGGATTTTTGAAGTGAACAAAATTAAAACACAGGTAATCCATTTGTATATACAAAAACATACAAGTAACATATAATTAGTATAACATTCTCCCACAAAAACTCTCAGAGAAGAAGAAACTACAATTAGTACTTGTCAAGCAGATGGAAAAATCCTGAACACTGGTTACAAAATTAAATTATAACACAATTTCAAAGTTTAAAACTACTGTTAAAGAATAAGCTAGTGCATAGTTTATTTCTAGGAAACACAGGAAACTAGCATCTATGCAGGCAAACCCGGTGGGGTAAGTAGGGAACAGGTCAAAGGGAGACCTGTATACCCTTTTTTATCTTCTAATTTCATAACACATTCATGTATTATCCATTTTAAAAAATAATATTTTTATGAGAGTTATATAATCTGACTTCAAATCCTTTTTGTGGACAAAGCAAAGAATAAAATTAAGAAATAAGAAATAAACAAATTACTCATTAGACTTTTGAGTCAAGCACCAAGGCAGACTGGACTCATACATCCATGTGCCCAAATATACTCACTAAAATGTTAAATCAACATGAAAAATTAGCATAAATGAATTTTAACAAGTGATGGGGAGACAGAAATTTCTAGGTGCCAGAAGAGAAGAAACTCAAACATGTAAAGTTCCAGCTGACACCACGGTAGTCTAGGGGGATACTGGCCTACAGATATAAAACACCTGATTTTGAGCCTATTTCAGGGAGAGCTGGAAGTAAACAAACAAACAAACAAAACCCTATTTTGAGCCAAGATCCTCAAAAGTGCTGCTTAATATGTGAAAAGGAGGCTAGAGAAGCTCCACCAATATGCCCTTAGAAACAGCAAGGCAGCCAGCCATGCCCAGTTGGGGGAGAGAGGCTCCTGTGAAAATCAAAACTCCAGGTTTGCACTATGTTGGGGTACAGAATACAAATTCATACTACCTGTACAGTTCCATAATTCACCCCAAGCATCAGCAGTTGCACTGGCCCAGACATTTGTTAAACTGAACAAGTAAATGGAGGAAGCTGAGTGAAGGTCAAAAAGAACAATTTCTCTGTACTATTTTTGTAACCTCCTATGAGTCTATAATTATTTTAAAATAAAAAAGTTTTTAAAAACTGTACAGAGGGCATACAGGAGTTGGTTAATTCCCTAATTTTAGCTGTATCTTTTAAGTATTTCTTGGTTTTAATAAAATACTTAAACCTGTAATTTATTACATAAACACAACATAACATACAGAATTAAGTCTGCAATCTAGCTTTTACTCCTAGCACGCTGCTAATCCCCACTAACAATAATCAGTGCCCTCTGACAAACTCAGTGACCTCTTTTCAGACCATTCATCTCAACCTTCTCTCTGGCCTATCTCCAAAATGTTCATGTTTTGTCCTCAACACTTTTCTTCTTAAATTCCTAAATTATCACATCTATCCCTGTAGTTTCAAAGAGTTCAATCGTGATTACTCTCTATCCTTAATGACAAACTCTTATTCTGAGGTCCAGATCCAAATACCTGGTGATCACATCTTACTGGATGTTTCTTACCAACTCAAAATCAACATGTTCAAACACCAAACTATTAGTTTTTCTAAAACCAGCTTCTCAAAATGGCCACTGTCATCTTTTAAAATCCTCCAAAACAGATTATCTAAGAGTCATCCTAATTCTTCCCTCTGCTTTACCACACATGTACTGTATCTTATTGATTCTATACCTTTGTTCTCCTCATTTTCACTTTGATTTTTAATCACTTATTTTGAGAGTGTGTGGCCATGACTCTGGACCTAGATTTCTTTAGCAGATGCAAACTGATCCCCTTACCTGGAATCTGGCCTCTTCCTCCTTGCCAGATAATCTTTCCCTGATTTTATTATTAATTAACCATTTAAAAACCTTCTGAATAACATTCAGCCTCCCCTGACTCTCTAGCATCATGTCCTCCCACTCCTCTGTACAATACCCTTCACATAAACCATGTGAAGCTATTTGCAGTATCATGATGCTCAGGCCTCTATGGCCCTGACAGCAATGCTCGGGACTGAACTGATCATCTCCCTACCCCCAAGCCCCACCCTCTCTACACCTATGTATCAAACAATTCCCTCTCAAAAATCTTCAGCTCTAATAACTTTTGGGGCCATCCCCACATCCAACAGTAAAACTATTTACACTTCTTTTTGTCTAACTGTTATCTTCCATATACGCTACCCTTCTAAGCAATAATTGATTTCTTTAAGGGTAGGGACCATGTGTTATTCATCTTCATTATTCAGTATCTGTAAAAGAGTCTTCATTCAACATTTTATTAAGTTAATAAATGCCATGTTATTTTAAGTCATACTTCAGAGTTTTAATATAATACATAAGTACATAAGCCCATCGCAAAGAACAAGTGTATGTATGTGTGTGTGTGCACACGTGTGAGTGAGGGAAAGAAACAATTCTGGTATAGTCCCTAACAAAGCAGAGTAAAAATGCAGTGTGGTGATATTAGTTTAACTTCATTTTTGATGTGCTACATAATAAATTATTGTCCTGATTGGTGTAGCTCAGTGCGTTGGGCATCGAGCCACAGACCAAAAGTTGCCAGTTTGATTCCTGGCCAGGGCACATGCCTGGGTTGCAGGCCAGGTCCCAGTTGGGGGGGTGTGAGAGGCAACTGATGGGTGTTTCACACATCATTGTTTCTCTCACACATCAATGCTTCTGTCCTTTTCTTTCTGCCTCTGTTCCCCTTTCTCTAAAAATAAATACCTTCTTTGAAAAAATTACTAATAAAACCTCCAAAACGTAATCTTTTTCTGCATCTACAAATAGGCATGTTGGATAAAGCCTTGCTCCAAAGAAAATTTGTTTAGCAGTGTAAACTAACCCAGGTTTTCTGACACGCATTTTGGCATTCAAGGAGTTTTCTGGTACCTTGAAAGCTCGTTAATTCAGGTCACTCTGCAGTAGTAATGCCTTGGCACTCTTTTCAGTCAGTTGTGGGGGAGGGTGGAAAGGAGGAAGAGAGAAGCTAACTGCCTCTAGAAAGCACAGACCACATGCTCTTTAAACAAAAACATAATAAAAGTCTTTTAAATGACCAAGGGTACTCTTTAAGGAAGTAGAACACAAAGTACAGACAGAATGCTTTTCTTTTTCTTAAAAAAGAAAAAAGGAAGTAAGAAAACCAAATAGTTACTTCCTAACCACCTGCACTGTATTCTACATTGTCCAAGTTATGAGATCCAAGAACAAATATCGTACTTATTTTTAAGTTCCATATAGCAAATAACATGTTAAGCAGTGTGTACTACTGAATGCCCAACCCATGAGAATAAGTAGACCAGTACCCACCTCTGCAAGAAATCCATCTTCACAGCTCACCTGACTTAAAGAAACTTCCCTTCCTCTCCACAACTGATGAGGTTCTCCTCGATTTTCTGCTTTGTTCGGCTGACCTTAACATTTTCCATTATTATCTCTGTCAATTACATCCCCACACTCCCAAATCCCTTTCACTTTAAAGCCTTGGCCAATCTTGGCACTTCATACCTCTAGCCCCATACTCCATAAAGGAACGTACTGCTTAAGCCCTATTACTGCAGGCTCTCTTCCCACTGGCACTAATTCTAAGAGTCACCAGAGAAAACCAAGTCTGCTTAAGAAAAGCCATTTAATTCCCAACCATTTCTTGGTGTCCCCGAGAGGAGATTACACAGGGCCTCTGGCCCAGAGTACTCTCTAGAGCCAAAGCCCATTAGAGAGCCACTGCGGCCATTTGACTGATCAGAAGCAATTGAGAGTGTTTAGAGAGAGACACACAGTACATAGACATGAAAAGAATAATATATGCCTATGGAATGAAAATATCTTAATGAGCCACTGTTAAATGAAAAAGCTGCAGAATAACATAGAGTATAATCTTAAACAATTACATATGTATGTCTCTGTGTGTATATATGTATCACACATGAGAAGAACAAGTTGAGAGAAAAGTGACTGTACTCTATACATACACAATGATGCATAGCGTGGTCCCCATTTATCTGTGGTTTCACTTTCCACAAAGTAGTCCAAATACATTAAGCAGAAAACTCCAGAAATAAACAACTCGTAAGTTTTAAATTACATGCCATTCTGAGTAGCATAATGAAATCTTCTACCACCCCACACCATTCTGCTCTGTCCCACCTAGAAAGTGAAATTACCTGTTCGTCCAGCATATATACTCTATATACTACCTACTCGTTTGTCCCTTAGTGGCACTCTCAGCTATCAGATGGACCGTCAGAGTACTGGAGTGTTTGTGTTCAAGTAACCTTTATTTTACTTAATAATGGTCCCAAAGCCATTCACATAACTTTGAATACACCTATAGTGTATTCTTATAATTGTTCTATTTTATTAGCAGTTATTGTTGTGAATCTCTTATTGTACCTAATTTATAAATTAAACTTTATCATACATATGAATGTATAGAAAAAACATAATATATCTATACAAGGTTCTGCACCATCCTTTTAGGCTTCCACTGGATATATCTTGGAATATATTCCTTGCAGAAAAGCAGGTACTACTGTACTCATAAAACTGTGTATCATTAGATTTGAGATAGATACAAATATAGAAATATATGGT